CTAATAAGGGAGTTATCCCTTTCATAAATACCCCTTTTTACCTCTAATAAAATACTCTTTTAAAAATCTGATGGGTGCCCCTTTTCCGTCGACAACTGCCCATTTTCCATTCTCATAAGTGCCTTTTTTCATTTCTGATGAGAGCCTCTTTTCAGGTGTAAGAAGTGCCCCATTATCACCTCTGATAATTACCCTTTGTACTTTGACACGTGATCCTTTTCTTTTCTAATAAGTATCTTATCCCTTTTTATAAGTGTCTCCTTTTTCTCTCATCTATAAACGAGCCCCTGATTTAAAGCGACTAAGAGTAACTTCCCACAAAGCTCGCTCGCATTTATAGATGATACATTATAATCATGTTACTTATCAAAGGTCTTTTCAGGCTTCCGTTATGAGAATATGCTTATAACGCCATCAGGATTGGGTCTTTTCCTCTTCAAAAGATCGCACTGCCACCCAGGCGCGGATCCAGGGGGGGGGCCGAGCGGGCCTTGGCCCCCCCCCCCCGGCAAAAAAAAAAAAAAAAGAGAGAAGAAAGGAAAAGAAGGGAAAGGGAAAGAGGAGAGAAAGGGAAAGAAAGAAGAGGAAGAAGAAAAGAAAAGGGAGAAGAAGGAGATCGGGGGGGGGGGGGCGAAAGGGCCTTGCCTCCCAGGCTGTTGCCCCCCCCCCCCCAATCAAAAAAATAATAGAGAAGGAAGGAAAGGGAAAGAAAAAAGGAAAATAGGAGATACTGGCGTACTGATAGAGAGGGGGGGGGGGGGGGGCTTGGGGAAAATCAAATTCAAACGTGTTTTATTTCTAATTCCATAATTGTGGATTACAAATAATGCTGAAATGACATAATTTCCGAGATTTTTCCTCACTTTTTAGTAAATTATACTTTTTTATGCGTTTGTTGGAAAATGACAAAATGACAAATGATAAATTTACAGCCAGGCAAGAAATATGATTCTTGAGATTCCTACATGTCAGGGCCCGAGGAACGGCGGGAATCGGGAGCCTCGAGCCCCCCCCCCCCCACACTTTAACAAAAAAAAAGTATATTATAGAGAAATAAAAAAAAAAAAGAAAGAGAGCAAGAAAGAAAGAATAGTTAAATGCCAGTGTTAACAAATAAAGAGGCATCAAAATATGATCATCTGACCGTGATTAAATGCCTAAAACCCCTAAGCTTCCGGGGGATCTACCCCCTGGATTCCACCTAGGGCCCTAAGGTGGGCCCTTCGATGCTCATCTGACGGTTATTTAATGCCTAAAACCCCTGATTGTGGGGGGCTCCGCTCCCTGGATCCCACGCCAAATAGTGTCCTGCCAGTGACACAAAATAATAAGGATTATAACAAAATGCTCATCTGACCGTAAATAAACGCCTAAAACCCCTGAGCTTCCGGGGCTCTGCCCCCAGGATTCCACCTTGGGCCCTACGACGGGCCCTTCGATGCTCAGTTGACGGTAATTTAATGCCTAAAACCCCTGATTTTGGGGGGCTTTGTCCCCTTGACCCCACGCCTAAGTGTCCTGCCAGTGTGACAAAATAATAAGGATTATAAAAAATGCTCATCTGACCGTAATTAAACGCCTAAAAACCCCGAGCTTCCGGGGGCTCCACCGCCTCGACCCCACCAGGGGCCCTAAGGCGGGCCCCTGAATGCTTGTCTGACCGTAATTTATTGCCTTAAACGTCTGAGCTTCCAGGGTCGGACAAGGTATCAAAATGTGTTAATCTGACCGCAGGCGCGTAGCCAGGGGGCGGTGGGGGCGGTGGGGGCGGTGGGGGCGATGGGGGCGGTACCCAAACAATAACCGCCCCCCCCCCCTAAAAAAGAAGAGGAGAGAAAAGAAAGAGGACGTAGAAAGAAAAAGGAGCAGACAAAGAACATCTTTAAAATTCAGACAAAGATTAGTGTAGAGAACGGTACAACGCATCGTCTTCTATCTCTAATAATTTAATGAAACGTAAAAGCCCCCGCGCTTCGCGCGGGAGGGGGGAAACTGAACTCGGACGAGGATTAAGCATCGAGAACGGTACAACGAATCGTCTTGTTTCTCTAAAGATTTAAAGAAATGTAAAAGCTTCCGCGCTTCGCGCAGGAGGGGGGGGGGTGGGACTGAATTTAGACAAGAATTAAGAGTCGAGAACGGTACAACGAATTGTCTTCTTTCTCTAATGATTTAATGAATCGTAAAAGCTTCCGCGCTACGCGCAGGAGGGGGGGGGTAACTGAATTCAGACGAGGATTATTTTCGAGAACGGTACAACGAATCGTCTTCTTTCTCTAATAATTTAATGAATCGTAAAAGCTTCCGCGCTACGCGCGGGAGGGGGGGGGGGGGGTAACTGAATTCAGACGAGGATTATTTTCGAGAACGGTACAACGAATGGTCTTCTTTCTCTAATAATTTAATGAAACGTCAAAGCTTCCGCGCTTCGCGCAGGAGGGGTTGGGGGGTTGGGACTACATTTAGACAAGAATTAAGAGTCGAGAACGGTACAACGAATCGTCTTCTTTCACTAATGATTTAATGAATCGTAAAAGATTTCGCGCTTCGCGCGGGAGGGGGAAAACTGAATTCAGACGAGGATTAAGAGTCGAGAAATGTACAACGAATCGTCTTGTTTATTTAATGATTTAATGAAACGTAAAAGCTTCCGCGCTTCGCGCGGGAGGGGGTAACCTGTATTCAGACGAGGATTAAGAGTCGAGAACTGTACAACGAATCGTCTTCTTTCTTTATTGATTTAATGAATCGTAAAAGCTTCCGCGCTTCGCGCAGGAGGGGCCGGGGGGGCGGTGAAAATGAATTCAGATGAGGATTATTTTCGAGAACGGTACAACGAATAGTCTTCTTTCTCTAATGATTTAATGAATCGTAAAAGCTTCCGCGCTTCGCGCGGGAGGGGGTAACCTGTATTCAGACGAGGATTAAGAGTCGAGAACTGTACAACGAATCGTCTTCTTTCTTTATTGATTTAATGAATCGTAAAAGCTTCCGCGCTTCGCGCAGGAGGGGCCGGGGGGGGGGGGGGGGGCGGTGAAAATGAATTCAGATGAGGATTATTTTCGAGAACGGTACAACGAATAGTCTTCTTTCTCTAATGATTTAATGAATCGTAAAAGCTTCCGCGCTTCGCGCGGGAGGGGGACAACTGAATTCAGACGAGGATTAAGAGTCGAGAAATGTACAACGAATCGTCTTGTTTCTCTAATGATTTAATGAAACGTAAAAGCTTCCGCGCTTCGCGCGGGAGAGGGGAACCTGTATTCAGACGAGGATTAAGAGTCGAGAACTGTACAACGAATCGTCTTGTTTCTCTAATTATTTAATGAAACGTAAAAGTTTCCGCGCTTCGCGCGGGAGGGGTGAACCTGAATTCAGAAGAGGATTATTTACGAGAACGGTACTATGAATCGTCTTCTTTCTCTAATAATTTAATGAAACGTCAAAGCTATCGCGTTTCGAGGAGGAGGGAGGGGGAAGCTCGCCCCTCCCTGCACCCACCCCCCCCCCCCCGCATTACGTCACTGCTGGTCACCATTACGTTCCAATTTTTGGCTCGCATAATTTCAAATTTGGGCCCCCCCCCCTAAGAAATCCTGGATCCGCGCCTGCTGCCACCTCACAAATCTCAAAATTTGCCTCGCTCGCAAATGAGTATTCTGACCATCACACCCAACTGCAAAGTATGATTCTTAGAATATCGTGTATAATTAAGAGAAAAAAATATTGAAATCATCCCACAGTGTAGGAGCTATATACCAATGTCTAAAGAACTATTTATTTTCGCTTTGAGATTTCCCTTTGAAGGTGCCCTTTTTGTTGGTGCTTCCCCCCCCCCCCCCCCCCCCCCCCCCCCCCCCCCCCCCCCCCACTTTGGTAGCCGCTCCGCCGCCCCTGTGAATCCGCCTTTTGTTATCAGTTCAGCTCCGACTAATACATAATACATTTATAGACCTATATATGAAAATAACTATAAAGGGTTGATCATGATAATCGTCGCCATGTTTATGTTATCTAGCTTAAAATAGAGGATCCTGTTTGAAATAGAGGATCCTTCTTGCCTATCCCTTTCTTCCTTTCTTCCTTTCTTCTATTTATATTTTGTGTATTCGGGCGTAACCCATTACAAGCTTTGCTTATCGGGATTCGCGCCTTCTTCCTTGTCATACAAGTTCTGTAATTATATATTTGTTCCTACGTATAAATTATGTTGTTTGAACAGATGCCAAATATGTTTTCAAATTGAATGGAAGAAAATAAATGTTCATTTGAATTGATTGAAATCAACAGGAAAATAGAATCCGCCCGGCCCCCCCCCCCCCCACTCAGTGTTATTTAGGGTACGCATATGCTCATTCCCTATTTTTTAAAGCACCCCCTATCTGAGGACTGCCAACATTTTCGAACCCCCCTTTCGCGGGCTTTTCGCGGCCTTTTCCTGCTTTGGAGACCCCCCTAAATCAGGAAAAATGCTCAATGTACCCCCCTAAATTCGGAATAATTTCTCAGGAGTCCAAAGAGATAAGAAAAAAAAAAAAAAACACCCCTTTTTTGAAGAAATCTCCGGGTGAAAGTCAAATACACCCCTTTTTTTACAATTCTCGGGCCGGACTTTGTCGCACAAAAAGTACCCCTTTACCGGACATTTTGGCAACACGCATGCGGTCATTCCGACCCCTGAGTGGGGGGGGCCGGGAGAATCCGCTTTGGATGTTCAAACCATGACGTCATGGGTTGGGATTTCCCCCAGTTTTACCCCGTGAAGGTGCCGTATTGACTTACACCATTAGACCTATGTGAAATAACTGTATTTCAAACGAAGTTTTTGAGTGAAAACAAAAATGAGTTAAAGTACAATAAAAATTAATTGGGTTGAATAAAAAGTCATGATAAGTGTTTAAATCGAATTTTATCTATTATCGAACAAGTCTTTTAATGATATTAAAATAATAAAAAATAATAAAGAATTGGTTGGCATGTGTTATGTTTGCACCGTTTACTGCTCACGCAGAAAGAGCAGGGAATTTGCACTTCCTGTTGTAAACGACCTCGAACAACAGGGAAATTGAATCGGCAGCGATCACAACAGAGCTTCTTTCTTGAGTAAAACGGGTAAGATATCACAGTTTCTTACGCAAATCAAGAAATGTATTATGTTTAATTGCATAATATGTGTAAATGAATATAAGATTATGATTATTTTATTGTGATATTTGGGGGTAAAAGTAATTAATCGTGCATGTATGATGTAACATGTCAGGCTTCACAAACGAAGTAGTTATCAGTATCCTGATCTGAATTATGACATGATTGATGGAGACACTACAGTCAAACGCATTTAGTTACATTTGAGTCATGGACTCATCGGCCTATAGTATTAACTATGTAAGCTTCGCTGATGTTGGAGCTGGAGCTCCTCTTTATCGTAGTCCATACATGTGATTTACAATTACAATCACAACAATTCCTTTGAAATTGAAAAAGTAATTTGATATTTTCTAATTTCTGATGGATACAATAATACATGGTGGGGTATTTAAAGTTAAGCCTACATTGTTGTTGTGTACATCTCTTGGTGACACTGCACTGCCCTAGCTGACAGCCTGCAGCCAGTGCTTGAATTTCTGTTAAACCCAAATGCACAATTAAAAGTGAGAGGGATTTGGTGAAGCTAGCCAGATCGAGATGTAGTCTCAGCACTACAGCAGAACATATTCCCAAACAAAATAGACTAATTTTTGGTCTAACTCTGCCATTGACATCTTTTGTCTGCTTTGATTTTGTTGCCTCTTTTGTTTGTAAATACCGCAATATTTAATTGAGGGCTGATTTTGTTGTTGAATATTCCGGAACTATAACAGTCAGAGATCGAGAGTAGTTGAATCTCCGCATCATCACTCATTACTCAAAAGATTAGTCACACACAAATTTATACTCTCGTCACGCCAAGTTATAGTTCCTAGCGGACCTTTCGGAAGAGACGAACACAAGGTACAAGGTACAAGGTCAAGCACCATGGTCTTCTCAACACCAAATGCCTCCGTAATACATCCGTCAACGCAAATCAGTGGAAAACTGTCTCATTTTCACATGATTTTGAGCTTAACATACATTGGCAAGCTCAGAATTTGTTTTCTTCATTGTCTTAGACCATTTGGCCATTTTAATAGAGAAAGGTAGATATTCTAATTAAGCCCAGAATAAGGCCAAATTGGGAATACGTAGATCACCCTATGCCATATATGGATCTACCAAAAGAGAAAAGGAGAAAATGTGAAGGCCTACCCCTAGTAAATTATTTAAACTTAATAATATTATAATTAAACTACTACATGTATAACATGTACACTGTACATGTACACACATTTAGGCTTTGGTCTATGATACCAATGCCCTTTCTTAAGGAATGTGTAATTCTATACATATCTCTCTTTCGTCTCTAGGTCTACCTTTTCTACTTAGGCTGGTATTAATTAAAGCTAGAAAAGCGTTGATGGGTACATTTTTTACTCTCCAGTCAAAAGAAAAAAGCAGCCAGTTGGCACTGCTATACACCTAAACTTTCCTCCTGGCTGTACTTCACACTTGACATCTGACCTCTGACCTCCGACCTCCAAGATGCACGCAAACATTGACCCTGAGACGGTCATCACCAAGCTACCGTTCAAGGTCATGGATGAGCTGTCTGGTCTCCTGGATATCCCAGACGGCAGCGGAAGGCCCTATTGGAAGGCCCTCATAGCTGTTTTACCGGGAGACATGTACACGTGAGTACTTCCAATTGCACCAAATTTGATTTTCTTATCTTGTAGTTTTGTGCACCTGGCAGATAGGTTTCGACCCCCCCCCCCCCCCCCCCCCATTCCGGGAACAAAATCTCCAGTAGAGAGGTACTTTTCACACACAAAATTGAACCGTATTAAAGTCACCGGACTTAGGGGGTGCTTTCAAAGGGAGGGAACATGCATTCGCGTACCCTAAATAACACTTAGTGGGGGCCGGGGTTTGGACACAAGCATTTGTCAAGTTTTTTGTTTTTCTATTCATAATTGAGCTGATATATTATACAGAGTGATATCTTCTATTAACGTCTTAGAATTCTTAAATGTGTTTTTCCTTGATGTGTGCATCCACTGTTGAAGCATTCATTCAGAAATGGCAGTATTTCTTGAATTTTTGTCAGTACCTACAGTAGGTTTAATCCTTATCACTGGAGATGGTGCACATTCTGTATTGAATACTTGCAACAGGTAGTATGATTTTCATACTGGTATATCAGATTGTATAATGTAGAGACTGAATATGTCCATATGGTCACTTTTTAGGTGTACATGCATAAAAACATCTGTGACGAACGTGATGATCATCGAAAATCAAAACTATATAATTCTGCTTAGATATCACTGATACCATTATTGTAATCACTAGTATGACGGATATTGTGGCATTAGGGATTATTATCATCGACACTATTAACCCTTTGCTTACGAGAACCTGGGGGTCCCTGTGTTAAGCCTGTGGGACCTATACAATTCAGCTGTCAACAGGTTAATGATATGAGTATGTTGTATTTTACATGAATTAAATATGATGTAATTTTTACCCTTGCTCTTTATGCAGAGATATTCAGATTAACCGCTTCAGCATGGAGGGTCTTAGCTTGCGGGGAGGGGGCTCATCATACTCCCTATTGCGGGACCTGGGCCAACGTTACTGCAAGACTGTCAAACAGCTAGCCGCATACCTAGACAGACTACATTACGAAGCAGCTCTCCTCTTGATCAAAGCAACAGGTTTGTCTAATTCAGCGAGAATAAATCTAAAATTTGCTTTCAGGACAAGTAAATAATTTTGAAAACGTTTTCTGTAGTTCTGATAATTCGTATTGAAAAAAGTGGAACTGTGAATATTAAGCCATTTAGAATGATATATCATTCAATGAAAAGGTTGTAAGCATATTGTGCAAAACTCAGTCTTTCACAAACTTACTCAAATTATCACAACACTTATATGGGACTACTGTATGTGTGCATGCAAGTTGATGCAACCAATTTGCTCCATTTAGCCAGTTTCTCAACAGAATGTGATTTTTGTCATTTATAGATGTCAAAAGTGCTTGAATCATGTTAAGTGCATGTGCAGGGTAAAAAAAAAAATTATCATAAAATTGGTAACCATTACTTTACTATTCTGTAAAATTTGATGCATTACATCTGATCTGAATTGGCATACTTCAAAAACATAATTTCAAATGCATGCTGTATTATGGTTGGATTCTTTTTTGAAAACAAATTATCAAAATATTAGTTCAAACAAATTATGATTCACATGATTTGATAGTTTTACCAGACTGCTTAGAAAGCATGCTTGTAAGTAAACCACAGGAGACCGAAGGCTTTGAGTCCTCTCCGAGGGATGTGGCAATGGGGATTGATTTGGTTTCGAGCCCGGGACCTCCTGGTTGTGTAAAAATTTACCATAAAGCTGGGGGATTAGTTCATTGACTGTTCACTTCTTTTTTTCTCTTCTCACACTCCATGATGCCCTGAAAATCGCAAAAATTGGTGATTTGAAAAGTGTAAAAAAGAACCATTTCACAAGCACTTTCTAACAGGAAGAAATGTTTGTTTGTGAGATGTGCTTGTGTACAAATTTAACAAAAGGCTGGGGAATTAGTTCATTGACTGTTAACTTCTTCTTTTCTCTACTCACACTCCCTGCGTAGAGCCGCTCTCCATCGCGGATAATCCAAATTCATGCAGTGTAATGACAGGCGAGTTGGTCAAGTTTTCGTGCAAAGGAAAAGGTTTCCCCTACCCCAGGTGAGTTTGTGACAGCAATAGTATTTAATAACTTTCTTCTTTTTACTGATTAAGACCATTGTCACACCCCCAAATTGACTCTTAAAACTGAAGTTCAGTTTTGGTAAACCCCCCAAAATGTTTATCAGATTTCTTTGTATATTAGATGATAAATAGAAAGATACCAGCAATACCAGACTTCTGTGGAGTTTTTTTCCTCCGCAAGTGATTTATATTAAACAAATGAGAGGTAGAAAATAATTTATATCCCATCCTAGGGAGAGTTTCCCAAAGACTAAGATTGACTTTATGTTGGAATTAACTATGGCGGGCATGCAGTTCATGCCACTGTTTGCTCTCACCATTTACTGGCATTGGTCTCTCAAGGGACGTATAAATCATGGTCACAAATCTACAGACTTTACATTTTTTGATAGTTCATTATTGAGGGGAAAAAACATTATCTAAAGATCACAATTGAGAGACCAATGGTGAGAGTAACCAGTGGCATGAATGGCCTGCCATAGTTAAGTCCAACTTAAAGTCGATCTTAATCTTTGTGTAACACTCCCATGGTAGTGATTTCTAACAATGGTTATACCTACACTGCACATGTGAAACCCATGAGGACTGTTTTATACGCTACAATCTACACACACACACACGCTGTCTCCAAGGCAAGCACTGCTTGATATTGATGTGCCAGGAGCCATTGGGGTGGAAGGGTCATAGCCTAGCACATGTACAGTCGTTATCTAGCATTCCTTTTCGATATATTCACACTTCAATTCACAGGAAATCATGGATAATGTACCAAGCAATATCCTACATGAATAACCACTCTCCAAGGGAAAAATACATTGTACCCCCTAGGAAAATAGCCTCTTGGGCATTTACTCCCTTGACGACTATCTCCTAAAGGGGGGGGGGGGGCGTGATTTAGTCCAGGGATTAATTGTCGTGATCAGTATAAAGCAAAAAACTACATCTGCATGAACTCCTTTTGATCTGCCTCCAAGATCTGTCCAAGTAAATCATCTTTAATTTATTTATTCCCTGTAGATACCAGTGGTATAGGGCACATACGAAAGGCACGGAAGGAGGTGAGATCGTCTATGACGAAGTCAGCGGTGCGGTCGACTCGGTCCTCGAAATTGAGTCAGCGGACGATAGTCACGCAGGGGGTTATTGCTGCAAGGTCTACCATATACCCAACGGCCAGCAGTGTTCTAAGTTCACAGAGTGGGCCTACCTCACTGTAATCAGAGGACATACAGGTTGGTTCTTAAATAATAATAATAATAATAATAGTTCGTTCTTATATAGCGCTTTTCAGGACCGCAGGCCCTCTCAAAGCGATTTACAGATATATATTATGACCCCGGCCATCGGATTCAGGCTTACCCGCACACAATGTATGCACATTCTCCACTCCCTGGGGAGCATTACAGCCAGGCGTCATTTGTACAAGCGCACACTTGAAAATCTAACCACATTAGCTTTCGCATCCTACCGGGTACCCAATTAGCACCTGGTTGGAGAGTGGCGAATGTAGATCAATGTCTTGCCAAAAAGGACATTAGTGCCGCTGCAGGACTTGAACCATGAACCTTGTGATCAACAGTCCGGTGACATATCCACTCGACCACGACACCTCTAAAGGGTAACATTATTCAGATGAGAGAAAATGGTGCTAAGGTAGTGACTTCAATGCTAGATGTACAATTAAAGATAATCTGACAGTTTGAGTTAAAACAGTTGGGGAAAAAAAAAAAAAAAAATTGGGAAAAACTGATCTGATCGATTCCTTTATTCTCCCAGCTATGTTATTACAATTTAATTACATTAGAGGTGAATGTAAATCGTCACAAAGCAATGACTCTATAAGGCAGAATGATGCTAAAATCATTAGTCGGGTAAGTCAGAGTATAATGTTAGGTAGTACCGACACAGGTCAAGTGTTATAAAATAGACAGGGATAAGGATATTTTCTCCAAGTAATTCATTTATAGTCTAACCGCAGTAGGACACTTCCTGTCAATGTACTAGTAATGCAGAAGCAACTAAACACTGTAACACGTCTTTCGGAAGGTGACGTTAAAGGTCAGTCCCCAGACGTAAATAATCATATCTGTTTGACATCCAATTACACACACATCACTGTAACCAAGCCCAGTTTAACTTAAGTGGAGCCCTCTGCGGAATGACTTCATTACGTTTTTTTTCTTTTTCTCCTTGATAGCTCCACCTAGTACTAGCCCCAGTGGGCAGATTCTAGCCCCGCCGGTGATCAGGCAGCAGCCAGAGGGTAACCTGCGTGTAGACCAGGGGCGGGAGCTGGTGCTGACGTGCAGGGCTACCGGTTGTCCCAAGCCAGACTACCAGTGGTACAAGTACGAGGACAACCCTAAGACAGGGGCAATCGACAAGGAGCACATCAAAGGCTGCACTTCAGAAGTTCTGCAGGTTGGTTTAGGATAGTTGAGTTCTTGTTTCAGACCACAAATTCCTTCAAAGTGCATGGCTATTGCTCTTATTCTCATTTATGACATTTCTAGTGCTGTTTTAGGACCTAAAATTGTTATGAAGGTAATTTTAGACCCCTAAATGTGTGAAATTTAGGCAATACGATCATACCAATTCAGCTCCACTTTAAAAAAATATGGTGACCGCTAATGCATGAATTAATTTATAATAACTATACACGTGCGTATTATAACCAACACGATAAAGCCAACAAAAAGGCAACATCGGCACTGGCTGGAATAAAACGTATAAGGTGCTAATTTGTTTTTTCAACGGCTGGTTCAAATTATCAAATATTTGTGGTGGTACACAAATATTAGAATTGGTTATATTTATGGATATTTCAGCCGTCTCTTAACCGATTTTGATCAAACAAAGATGATTTTGTCATTTAAATTGTATGTGTTCTCAAATTTGCCACCCAGTTTTTCATTATCTCACCAAAAAAATTATTTTGTGTAGCGCCCTCTGCAACAGAACTCAACTATCCCTTTAACATTACAGATTGCAGAACTGTTACAGTAGCACATGGTCCCCCTCCTTATTTTGTTGTGATTACTTGTTTTTTATGAAATGTTTTTTTTTTTTTTTTTTTTTTTTTTTTTTTTTTTTTTATCCCTTTATTTTATATTACTTCTTTTTGTTTTCTTTCTTCAAAATGTATTTACTGTTGTTCATATAATGTATTTATGTTTTGTTTTGTTTATGTAATTGTTCCGGGCCCCACGGAAGACCAGCTTTCCCATGTCGGGTTAGCTGAATGTGGGCTATCCATCGTATTTTATGCATTTTTACTATGTTTTTTATACGAAAATAAATACTACTACTACTACTAGGGATGCAAAATAAATACTGGTAATAAATTTTGACAAGTTTGAACACCATCTATGCAAATAAACATGCAGGCACATATGTTAATGTGATTAAGAACATGTACAATGAAAACTTACTTTTGAAAAATTGACACTATTGTATAATTCATACAGCTGTACATATACCGTACATGTTGATCAGTGTGTCCCCTTTACATATAATTCACATGTTTCCTTGTTTTGTTAAAAAGAGATATTTGAATTTTAATGTCAACTTTCTCATTCATTAGTCAATTACCTTCTGTACTGTTATTCTTAGAAAATATAAATGATAGGAAGTCCAATAATTGTGTTGTATTTTCCCGCTATCATTGCTGTCGATCAGAGAGAGTGAAGCTCATTTTTACGACCAACTGGGCTTATGTAATACAAACATTCTCTATTCACTTCAGTAGAACCGCCCATGAAGGAAAAAAAATCATCATCATAATTTCTGAATCTGCTAGATTCTGAGTCTCTTGCAGCAAGTTCTTGGTATTTATACCAAGTCTAGTGTATGTGAAATATGACAGCATTGCACAGATGAGAGTATGTCTCTAGCTTTCATGCAATTTTTGTTGCTCCCATCCCCCCAAAACTCAATATCCTTAGTTTGCTCAAGCAACGTCCCTTGATGCCGGCCAGTACATATGCCACGTCTACAACTCAGTTGCCGAGGCCTGGAGTACCACCAGCAACGTTACCATAACGACCCTGGCGGAGTCCCTGAAGAGGACTCAGAGGTGCAACATTGAGATCTTGAGGGATCCCATCGACGTCCAATGCCTGCCGTCAGTCGATCAGAAGCTGGAATGCCTGGCCAGCTGCAGTACAGCCAAGCTCTTCTTCCAGTGGTACAAGGACGGCCAACCAATAGAAGGTACTGAACTTGAAACTTGATCTTGAAGGAAGGGCATTTTCTAAAATGTTTGAAGATATGCCTTAATTGTCTTATTTCACTTGAAAATTTGCCAGCCGTACTTCATTGATACATTTGTATTAATTTGTATTTCACCTGTTTATATGCTCGTGTATTTATCTATTTTGTTTTTGCTGCTGCTATTTGTTTTATTCTTACCAAACAGGGCCTCATGGAAGACCACCAAATTGGTGATATGTGCCACCCTCTATAAATATCAGAAATAAATAAAGAAAGAAAATAATAAATACATTCTTTTGCCAAAGTTTGATATATCACGGTATGACATGTTAGGAATAATTAGTAGTATTACATAATGTAAAAAGTATTTGCTAAAACACCTTAGAAGAGCAAGGTCTTTGTAATTGCTGATAACGTGAAGATTTTAATGAGAAAGTCACAAAAACTTTGTGCAGTGAATGATATCTCTTCCTTTCTGTTCCTGTCCTTGAAATGATTTTAAATCTCACAATGGCGCTACAATAATACAATGGTTCTGCTAGGCTACTGATTTTCGGTGCTCACAGCACTCAAGGAATTCCTTCCTTCCGGTACCAACTTAAGTCCTGGGTGGAGATTAGTACCCCAGTGGGACTCGGACCACAATCATGTGATCCGCAGTCTGGTGATGATGTATCCACTAGACCACAACACCTCTATAGTTTGATTTGATTTGATTTATTTATTTCTGTTTGATTTTCTTTTTCTTTTGCATTTTAACAAATATATAACTAACAAACATTGCAAATTTACACATGACAAAAGAATATATGTAGAATAAAGCAAGGCTGGCTGTAACTAATCGAAAAACATCAAACAGGAGGGTTGACAAAGTAAGCAAAGCTTGATAGTATGACTACCCTCAAAAGATACATAATAATACAAATATGGAGGAACAAAATATTGGAAAAGGGGAAAAAGACAGAAAAAAGAAGAAAAAAGAAAGAAAGAGGGGATGCACATCAATATTCACAGATTTATGTGGTAGTTGGATTTCAATTTGATATATAAAGATAAAACAAAGAAGATGCAAATTTGAATATTGAGTGGCCAACTTGGGATATAATAGACTGAGAAGACTTGCGAGGTTTGGACAATATGAATGTGAATGTGAGATTAGCCAGCTGGTTTTAAACCTGGGCCTGCGAGTCGGAGCCTTGAAATGTTTGTATACAAAACACTGTTTATTCAGTATCCCAAGTAGGCCACTCTTTATTCATACGTTTATTCATAGTACAATGCCACAGTGCTTTACCTTATTTACTGATATCTGTTACAATTTAAAACAGGTGAAACGACAAATCAACTGTGCTTCCAAGACTTGAAAACGTCTGATGCTGGCAAGTACTTTTGTCGTGTGACTGCAGAGAACATAAAGTCTGAAGATTCTAAGGTGGCAGAACTGAAGTTTCTAACCCCAGAAGAAAAATTTACAGGTTTGTAATAAACATTTACCATCAAACAATCTCAAATTGAATAGTGAGACCATGAATATGTATGAGTATGTAGAGAGTGGGTTGGCTTTGCAAGATTAAAACCTGTTCGTATCAGAAAATGAATACCGAGATCGGTGATAGAGGGCAGTGGTGAACGTGTACAATGTTTACAAGAATTTTAGAATTACCAACTCTTGGGGCAACTGTCAACTCATATTTAGGCATTTGACATCTCTTATTAGGCAGTTAAATGTAGGTGATCGATTTGTAAATCTTATACCTTCTTCTCATTTGCTTCACTCGCTTACAAAAATTAGAAAAACATAGAAAAATTGTATTTGGGTTAGAGATATCAGCCCAGTGACAAAAGGGTCCTTGTATAGTCTGTGCGTAGTGGCCTTGCAGAAGGAAAGTGGTATTACTGAGTGAGTGTTGCAATCTGTGCAAATGCAACCCCTGCTACACAACAAGCTGTGTATTGCATGCATAGTGAGTGTGGGCATGTTCATGTTCATGTACATGTATGTAGTAGATTAACAGATTAGATTTTAGGGTCATGAGGTCAAAGGTCATGGGGTTTATTATGTATGCCTATAAATAACTAACAGTTTATAACATGGCGAACGAATAACACAGTGAACTGTCAACTCTCCCGATCTTTTGGAAATATCTATTGGAAATATCTGTATATTGCGCGATTTTGATCATCCCAAGTTACCATTATGAAAGAAGCAGGAAGAACGACGCTACCACGGAAGGTTAAAGAAGACGGAAAGGGGAATTTGAAGCCAAAACCACATGATGTCAACTCTCCATCTTCCAAGGCTTCCCCGCAAGGAAAAGCTCAACGGACTGATACGACCAAACCCGCCAACACTCCAGGGCCCAGTACTCGTCCAAAGACCGCCTCTGCAACAGCAGGTCCATCGACAGTGGGTACACCCATCAGTTACCTGCCGCCTGATGACATTCCGAGCGATCTTCATGACAAAGAACAGCAGCAGGAATTGCACGATACTTCAAAGAGGCAACAAAGAACTTTGAACGTATGATAGAGAAAGCATTGGAATCTCTCGTCGAAAACATCAAGCTGGTCGAGACAAAGCTAGGATCGGCAATAGAATTTGAAAGTCAGAGAGTGACGGAGGTTGAGGAGAAGAATAGGCAGCTGGAAAAGAGAATGAGTAAGCTTGAAAAGGAAGTTCAAGTGTTGCGACTGGAAACAACGAAGCAAACTTCAGCAATCAACAAGAGCGAGCGATTTTCCAGGCGGAACAACGTACGAATCGTTGGAATCCCGGAGCCTACCACCGGCAAAGAGGACTGGGTAGCTCTCGTAGAAAACATCGCACAGGTCAAGTTCGGGCTCGACATCAAGGTTGAAAGAGCGCATCAAGACGGGAAATCATCACAAGGTCGCCCAAGGCACATCTTGCTCAAAACCCTCTCGTATCGTCAGAAAATTGATCTCATGAGGAACCAGCGTGAGAAGTTAGCGGATGAAAATTATTATATGACTGACGACCTCACCTACGAAGATCTCATCGAGAAGAGAAAATGGAATACATCCGTTCAGGAACTGTATAAGAACAACGTGAAACTCCATTTCTCCGGTGGTAAATGGCGAAACCAAGCTGGAGTCCCCTACATCTTCAAGCCAACCAGTAACGTCAAGTAAGACTGTGGAATGAATGCATGTTTTGTGTATGTATTTTACACACTCCATCGCTATGTAATGATGAATTTCTTCTTGCTTTCTGTAAACTTTTCATCTTCTCCCTCCTCTATCACTCTATTTACTCTTGACGTAAAATGTTGTAAATAATAATGTTGATGTCTGATAAGAAGACCATATATATCTTGTTTACATTAATACGGAGAGTTGATATGTGACATACTGTTATTTCACTTGTTAATTGTATTATAATGTACCCATGTACCTCAGCTGGAACACCCTCTTTGACTTGCATCTTTCTTTTTCTATCCCCTCCTTTGTTGGTAATAATAATCTCACTATTGCATGATACTTGTCAGGTCATACACGACATAGGGACAATTTTATATAACGATGGTTGATGATGAAGAGATAAACCCAAGTATACACGATGCCATAGCTTGTAAAGATTACCTTCCTCATGAATTTAATTCAAATTTTAAGAATCACAAACAGTCATTCAGCCTATTTCATACCAATGCTCGTAGTCTTGCCAAAAACCATGAATATTTAAATCTTCTTTTGTCTTCTCTTACTATACACTTTTCAGTAATAGGTGTTACTGAAACTTGGTTGAGTGACAACTGACCACCTATATATAATATCAATGATTATTCACTTATACGTTCTGATAGACAATCTGGTAGGGGTGGTGGAGTTGCGATGTATGTATCAAATTTTTTTTCGTATAAAATAAGACCAGATCTTACCTTCAACAATAATTTCATTGACTCAAAAAGTATAGAAATTAACTTGCAAAATAAAAAAAATGTTATTGTTTGCACGATCTATCGGCCTCCAAATACGAGCGTTGATATATTTTTGGAAGATTTAAACATTTTATTAGAACGGATAAATCATGAAAATCAAGATGTATACTTGATGGGTGATTTTAATATAGACCTGTTGAACTCGGTTAATAATAATTATAATACTTTTGTGAATATTCTACAAGCGAATTCTTTCATTGGAGCCATCGATAAACCTACAAGAATTACGCAGAACACATCAACTTTAATAGATAATATTTTTACGAATGTTGTTACTGAACATATGAATGCTGGTCTAGTTTACAGTGAAATATCTGATCACATTCCTATATTTCTTATTTGTAATAATGATCTCATGTCTCGTACAAAACAAAAGGAAATATCAATGTCTCGTAAATTTAAAGCAGAAAATATATTATCTTTAAATAATGATTTAATGATGGAAACATGGAATGATGTACTATCTTGTCGGGAAACTGATACTGCATATGAACTATTTTGGAATATATTTTCAGCCCACTTTGATAGATGTATTCCAAAGACTAAACAAAATAAAAATAAAAGAAAACCACAACATCCATGGATAACGAAGGGAATTTTTCGTTCAATTAAGAGACAAAATATATTGTACAAACGTACTCTCCGTGATCCAAGCAACGAGAATAAATACGAATATAAATGTTATGGGAATAAATTAACAACAATAATTAGACTATCTCGTAAAATGCACTATGTAAAAGAATTTGAAAATGCTAACGGTAATATGGCATCTACCTGGAAAGTCATAAAAGAAACTCTTCGAAAGCAAAAGACCAAGTCAAACATTAATATTAACAATGATGGTCAGACAATTTCAGACTCTAAGGATATACCAGATTGTTTTAATAAGTATTTCGTAAATGTGATAAATCGTTTTTCTTTATGCCTACAAACTGTTTTGAAATCTTGAATATTATCAATTCATTGAAAATAAGTTATTCTTGTGGTCATGATGAGATGAGTACGCACTTTTTAAAACAAATAGCAGGAAGTATTGTAACGCCTCTAGTACACATTTGTAATTTATCACTTACAACAGGAGTCTTTCTGGACTCACTGAAAGTAGCAAAAGGAATTCCAATATACAAAAAAGACGACTCTTCTCTAGTTTCAAATTACCAACCTGTTTCTATCTTACCAAGTATTTCTAAAGTCTTAGAAAGACTGACTTATAATAGACTGTATGATTTTCTAACAAAAAATGAACTATTGTATGAAAATCAATATGGTTTTAGAAAATTTCATTCAACGGAGTTAGCATTGTTACAATTATTTGATAGAGTGTCAAATAAAAGGCTGTGAAGGGTAGTCGAATGCTCGAGTACCCGCACGGTTGACAACTACTCGGGTACGATTTCTCGTACCCGAATATTCGGCCGCAAATTTTTTTTTTTTTTTTTTTTTTTTTTTTAAATGTCCAGGCCGACGCTTACCCGTGCCTGGGTGAGCGGCGGCCGCTGGCATGGTGCCGTCGGTAAAAATGTTTCCCAACTCAAGCACTGTCAAACTCACCACTCAGAAACTGGGACCAAATGTCTGGATTTCTGCTTGGACTTGGAGGAAAATGGATTATTCTGCCATCCTTGGTTTTTAAAACAGCATTGTTCACTGTTATTATTATTATTAAATCGGCGCCTTCAACTGCAACTCAAAGTAAAATTGCATGCGTTTTCGGCGACAGAACTGGGATACTGCTCCAGTGGTATGTATGGTGGTGGCAAAAAAAAAAAAAAAAAATAAATAAATAAATAAATAAAAAAAAAATAAATAAAATAAAAAAAAAAATTAAAAAAAAAACAAAAACAAAAACAAAAACAAAAAAAACATGGCGTCCGAATACTCGAGTATTCGCTTGTAAACATAGGAGTGTACTCGGGTACCTCATTACACTGTTGTGCACAGCCTTAGACCATCACTGTCAAATGCCTTAGCTGATCATAAGCATGTTATTGGAGTATTCATGGATCTGAGCAAGGCATTTGACACTCTTGACCATAAAATTCTTATACGTAAATTGGAATACTATGGATTGAGGGGTGTTGCTATACAATGGTTTAAAAATTATTTAACAAATAGAAAACAATATGTATGTTATGATTCAAATGAATCAGAATTATTATCTATAACGTGTGTTTAAATTCGTTCATTATCTGTATAAAATTATACACACTTAAAATATTGTATCAAACTATATTATGTTCATGAAAATGTATGATGAAAAAAAGAAAAAAAAGATGCAGAAACCAATAAATCAAATCAAATCAAATCAAATGATCATTAGAGCCGACAGATGGATTACTATCACACTCAGGACATGTATTTTATCTTGCAGAGCCAATGAACTGATAAGATTTTAGGGTCATGAGGTCAAAGATCATGTATATTAAAAAATAGCTTGTAATAACACCAGAAAATCGTTCTATGGCGTAGGCATCATTTTGAAGTTCCATCTAGTTTTAATCTGATACATGTATCAGCTAAGTCATTTGGTTTCTTTCTCCCATAATATAGCCACAGACAAGGTAGCTTTACTCATTGGGAACGAGGCCTACAGGTCAGGGACCTCACTGTCCGCACCTGGCAACGACATGGAGAAAATGGCGTATAACCTCTACCGCATGAACTTCAAGGTTGTGTCACTTCTCAACCTCACTGTTGCTGAGATGAGAAAGGCTCTCAAGATCTTCTGCTCTCTGCTCAGTGAAGGAGTCTATGGTAAGGGCATTAGAGAGAGAGGGAGGAAGGCAGGGAGGGAGGGAGGGAGTGAGTGAATGGGTGGGTTGGTGAGTGAGTGAGTGAGTGGGTGAGTGAGTGAGTGAGTGGGTTAGTGCGTGAGTGGGTGAGTGAGCGGGTGGGTTTGTGAGTGAGTGGGTGGGTGAGTGAGTGAGTGAGTGGGTGGGTGAGTGGGTGAGTGAGTGGGTAAGTGAGTGAGTGGGTGAGTGAGTGAGTGAGTGGGTAAATGAGTGAGTGGGTGAGTGAGTGGGTGGGTGAATCAGTGAGTGAGTGGGTAACTTAGAGAGTGAGTGAGTGGGTAAGTGAGTGGGTGAGTGAATGGGTGAGTGGGTGAGTGAATGAGTGAGAGAGAGACATGCAGACAGATACACAGAGAGAAGGAGGGGTGGAGAGTAAGAGAAAGACAGTGGGAGAAAGTATGAGAGATTGATGGGTTTTTTATAAGACTTTTGAAACAAAATTTTTGTTGTTGTGAAAAAGTACCTGCAAATTGGGTAGATATTGAGAAAGAAACAGAGACTGTGGTGAAAAGAAGTAAAAGAGAGTGAGTGTTAAGAGAGGAGAGAGAAACAGAGAGAGATAGAGGGAGAGGGAGAGGGAGAGAGAGAGAGGGAGAGAGAGAGAGATAAAACTAGAGAAGGTGAGAAGGAGGCAAAGATGAACAGACAAACAGGAGATGCAGAGAAAGAACAAAAAATAGGTGAAAGATAATATACTTCATACAGTACATACTTTATCTGTTTTAATGTGTAATGGGGTAGGAAATAACCACATGTGCAGGGGATTATTGTTTATGAAGGACCAAAAATATTATGAAATTGTAACTTCAAGATGAACACCCTACATATATCCTCCCTGATATGATGTTAGATATACAAAAAGGAACATGATTTATTTTCTTAATATTTAAATCTAATACTATTGAAATAAATAAATACATACCAGTATAAAGTGTGACCTCTAATTCAAATGTTGAAATAATTTCCCCCAATAACAGGTCTGTTCTACTTCAGTGGGCATGGGTTTGAGCAGGGCGGGCAGACGTACATGGTTCCCGCTGATGCCCCCACTGGCTACCTGCCTGAGGAATGTATATGTGCGGAGGAGGTGCTGGCCAGCATGCAGGAGAAGAATACCGCCCTCAACGTTCTTCTTTTGGACATCTGTCGCAAATTGTAAGTCTCATTAATGTAAATTAACAGCAGAGGACCTAGGATAGAACCTTGTGGTACGCCGTGTGTAATAGAAGAAAAATTGGAGGAATTATTATTATAAACTACATATTGAGATCTATTAGAAAGATTACTTTTAAACCAAGATGACAGACAAATTTGAGTGTTGTTCTAGTTTCAGAGTGGTGAGTCAACACACCGATTACTGAGCTGGGAGACATTGCCAGGCATAGTGCCAGGTGGAGGGGCGTAAATCGAAACTTTAAAAAAAAAAAAAAAACCTTTGTATAAGACGCACCCCCGACTTTCAATTTTTTTCGGCGGCAAAAAGAGCGTCTTGTACATAGAGATTTACGGTAATCATTAGGGGAAGATTTATTACGATATATTTTCCAATGTGTAATAGTACCTTTTTAACTTTTCTTGAATTTCTCTTGTCAGCAATGACTTTACTCAGGGCGAATTCAAACGCTTCGAGTCTGAAGCGAAAGGAAACACAGTGTATGGATATGCAGCGTGAGTACAACATTGGTGCATTTACCTTTATGATTCATTTATTTGTGTGACCACAACAATGACTGCAAGTTATACAAATTTACTGTATCTTTACTTTTCATAATTATTTCTTTCAGCAAGGCTCAACACTTAGTAACATGCACTCAGGACATGTGTGCCCAAAATCAAAGTCTGGATCCCCAACTTTTTGAAATTTTTACATATGGCTCATGCATGCAGTTTAAAAAGTCCATTCTAGACCCCTCTGAAAGTGCTTGTGAGGAGGCCTGCTTCAGCAATTAAAGAGAAGGTTGAGTTCTGGGAAGAGGTTAAAAATAATTTGTGAGCATTATCATTGTTGTTATATGCAAGTGTGCAACAACATCAAATAAATAATGTCCCCTGAAAAGCATGGCTCTTAAAATGCTTTCATATTCTAAATATGGCATGTAACAACATAAAATTTGGGATGGATTTTTATGCCACATGTTTGTGTAGTCCCATAAACATCTTTCTGTGTACAGTACTTGTAACTTTTCCAAGACTGGGCCCAATTTCTTATCATTTTGATGATTTCAGAAACTTGCAGTACGCACTAATACTTAGATGCTAGATGATCAACCTTTTCTGATAGATTCCATATTGTTTTTTCACAATCCAATTGCATGACCAGAACTCAACTTTATCTTTAAATCACAAAGTAGGGATGAGGAGAAAAAATGAATAATGGCTCAAATGGGCATTAAATGAACTAGTAAATCAATGAAGTAAAAAGTAGATGAAATGTTGTCTTAGGCCTCTAATAGAATAGACATATGTAGTATTTGTATTTGTAGATTCAGAGCAAATGCCATAGGACGAAATTGGATTTGGATGTATTGGCATTGGCTTAAATGGCCATTTTAACTCACATTTCTGTTTTGTTATACATTTAAACCTGCCTTTTGAGGCCCCCCAAAAGAAACACAGAAAATGGCCCATGTATGCAGGTGGCCTTTCTAGACAGGGTATATAATTTACAATTCTTTCTCAAGAGAGACAAAATACCATGGCCACTATAGACAGGTGGCCTGTAAAGAAAGGTGGCCACTAAGACAGGTTTGACGGTACGCAGCATACAAGTTTCTTTTACCTGTACGTGTAGTTTAGTACCAGAAAACCTTGCACACGTTGTTGTAGGCTTGTTCTTGTTCGCGCCAAAAATTCAATTATTCTTTGTTTCTATTGTCATAATTTGATGATTTCTCTTCTGTTCGTTGTAGTACAATCAACTCTGAGGCGTTCGAGGTCAGTCATCAAGGCTATGCTATCTTTACCAAGTATCTGGTGAAGCGGATCCACGAAGAATGCTCTATCTATGACATACTCAAAAAAGTCATAAACGGTACGATGTTGATCTCTTCCCTGTCAACAAGTTTTTGAACAATTTTTCAGAAATGAACTCATTCCCTATGACTGATTTTGACGTACATGTAAGTTGGCAATCGCAAGACAAACGATAAATGAACTTTCAGAGGTTTCGATTTTGACTTAACGGTATAGTATGTATTCCACTGTTGAATTGGGCATGATATTGAAATTAATTGAATTACATTGAAGTGGTTTATACCACAGACCCAACTTGAGATTCACATAGAGAAGTGATCTCATATTTCAAACATTCATAACTTTCTTATATTTGTCAAATTCATTATAACCTGTAGTCACGCTCTATCTTTTATTTTTCTGCTTTCACGCAAATAAACTTATTATCTGAAAAGTTCAATATTGCCCTTTATTTTTAAGGGGCCAGGGACACAATGTCTTTCTACCCTTGCATATTTTGAGCGTTAATGGTACATTCTTAAAACCTTTTGTCATTGTTTTTAGATGTGAACAAAGACCCTTATGGCAGCAAAAAGCAATTCCCTTCTTTGATGGGCAACTTGAAAGAAGACCGATCTCTGGCAGATTGCATCACGTATACTGGCCGCACCACAGAATTCAATACCCGCAACGACGCTTGGCAAAGAGGCCACGGTAATGAAAATAATGTTGGTGGTAGTGACGATAAAGCTATTGATGGTAGTGATGATGATGTATTTGATGAAAATATTTATTCTTAAAATGTGAGGGTAGTAGTAGAAGTAGAAATGCCAGGAAGATAAGGAATATTGGACTAGGAGGAGGAGGAGGAAATATTTTATGAAGAAAATGAAAGCATTGGGGATGGGAAACATAATGAGGATGGTGGTGTTTATGATAATGATGATGATAATGATGGAGATGATGGTGGAGGTGAAGATGATAACGGCAATGATGATTATGTTTCTGATGCTGATGCTGATGTTGATGATAGTGAAGATGAAAATGAAGAAGATCTTGATGAATATTTTGATAATAATGATAATGATGATGGTAATAGCAATGATTTTGGTGATGGTGATGACGATGATGATCATGGTGATGATAGTGATGGTTAGGATGATGAAGATGATGACAGTAATGGTGGTGATGATAACAATGATAATGAAGGTAATTCTGATGAAGATATTGATGATTATGACTGCTAGGATCATGTTGTTGAAAATATTTAAAGGGATGATAATGTGATAATGGAAATGGGAAGTAAGATGCCAAAAGTAAATGATATTGCATCATATGAAATATATTGCAAATTATGATCATGATTTCATTGATGAAATATATTGCAAATTATGATTATGATTTCATTGATGAAATATATTATCATTATGTCACAACTCTTGGGCTATGAAGTATCATGAATAAATTAAAAAGGTCAAGGTAACCTAACCATGCATCCCCCTTCTTGTCCTAACACAGAGCTGCCCAGTGATATACCCATAGCCCAGCTTCCTTACGGCATCGTGGCCCAAATCGAGTTTGAAATCCGCTTCTCCAACGTCATGCTCATCATTACCAAGATCTTGAACAGGGGGGCCAGCACGTGGTGCGAGGCTACCCCCGCCAAGGTCCCGCCCGAAGTGGACATCAAATTGTTGAAGGGACACTTGGAAGTGGTATGTGTTCTACTAATCATGATTCATTGTGTTAATACCTAACTGTATAACAAAACAGAAAATTGCTGAAGGGACACTTAGAAGTGGTATGTGTATGTTCTACAAATCATGAGTCGTTGTTTACCTAAATGGAAGTTTCTGTTTTTGCCATGATATTAGAAATCTTGATGTAAAGTCATTTGACATGTACTTCCTTGTAGTTACTGTACTTGAAATCTAAAACCTTGACACCTTTTAATTAATATTCTTTGTTCTTTGTTCTTTGCTCATAATTGGCTCGTAGTAAAGCATAAGTTGATACCAGGGCCCTGCATTACAAACAGTTGATATCAATCGCAACTTATTTGCAATTGATATCAATCGCAACTATGTACATTAGAGATAGGAGACTGCAAACATGCCATATGTATCAACTGCAACTCTTTGTATTAAAGACAGGGCCCAGGTGTGTATTTTAGACCATTTTTAATGGGGGAGAGGGCTATTGGACAGTTTGACAAGGTAGCTTTCAAAACAGAAATATGAAAAAAAAGTCCTAAGATTGTCTAATTTGCTATCAAAAGGCATATTTCTATGAATGTTAGGTATTAAAGTTCATGTTCTTTTCAAAATGTAATGGAGATGGGGAATTGGTTGTGGCTTAATAGTGTACAATTTCTTTTTAACTATCTCTCTGTTCTTTCCTTCATTTTGAATCAGCCTGACCTCAATGGAAGGCAGGGTGAGGCGCCTTTCTACAAAGCTATCATCGAAAACATCCAAAGAATCCGAGTAAGTGGTTGCTTCGACTCATTCTTTAACCCTTAGGCTGCCACCAAGTTTAGAAATGTCATTTATTATTTCTGGAGACAAGTTTTTGATAAAGGTTACTTTTCTCCCATTCATTATTTTGATAAAAACAGTATTCTAAGGCAGTTTATAATTTGACGTGTGAACAAGGCCTTAGATTAGAAAAAAAATATGCGAGGAAAAGCATTTATTATTTTCCACTTTGTTGATTTTTCCGGTAGTGTTTTAGATCTATAATGAATCAAAGTGACTTTGGGTATTTACTTTCATTTTTCTTTATCAATACTTTATTGATTGTACTCCTTTTATTTTTTGTACTTCTGTAGGGCGATTTCATCTTTGACCTGATCGTGAATTACGAGTACGGAGGCCAGCGCTACACCCAGGCCCTGCCCATTCGGATAGATCGTCCTCTGATCTCCCAGGTCTGGCTCATGGATGAGCTGGAGACTGAAAGATCACCCACAGAAGATGAATACCCAGATTCATCAACATCCAACTCACTCGTCTAAGGAGTCATCTCTGTCGTCTGCTGTTTCATTGGTCCTACTTCCCATAGGTCATATGTCCAATTGGTTCTATGCCGTCCCGCTGGTCCATTTGGTCACTATTCCTGCTCTCAAATATTGGTCCAAGATGCAATTGGTCCCGCATTCACATTGGATGTCTCATTGGTTCTATGTTCCATTGGTGTTACATCTCACTGGTCCAATGTCTCTTTGGTACCACGTACCAATGGTCCTATGCTTTAATGGTCCTATATGCTTTAATGGTCCTGTCGCATTTTGTCCTACATGTACAACTATATACATCCAATTGGTTCCATGTCTCATTGGTCTTATGTTCAATTCTTGTATGTTACATTAGTCCTACATTCCTCCAGTCCTAGGTCCCATTCTTTATTTGTTCCATTGGTCCAACATTTCATGTGTTCTACATTCCAGTGGTCCTTTGTTCCCCCTGTGCTATGTCTCATTGGTCCTGGTCTATGTTCCACTGGCTCTACATTCCACTAACCCAATCTCGCTTTTATCTTCGGTCCCACGTACCCCTCATCAGTGTTAGTCTTAGTGGTCCTATGTGACACATATAGTTTGGTATTTTTTCATGGGATCAGGGCTTTTACACCAGGGTTATGTTTAATGGAGGACAGAACAGCAGGGCCCTGTTTGATAAAACTACCGAGATATCATTAACAATTTACAATGAATATTATTGAAAAGCTATTGAAACCACTGCATTTTATTATTTGTAATCTTGTTCATTCAGTGTAAGTTTTGCTGGATTCTGTGAGAATACATTTTCAGTGTAAGTTTTGCTGGATTCTGTGAGAATATATTTTCCATCATTACCAGAACTCAAGCTTATCTTTAATCAAGATTCATGTTAAAACATCAGCAAATAATTATGAAAGGGTGCTTTGTTAGAATGACTTTTTATATGTTTAAAGTATACTCAAAGTTCAAAGAGTGTTCACTTGTATTGTGTCATATTGCGGTTTCTCTCTAAATATTGCAAATACCAGATATCCCCCCCCCCTCCCATCATTTGCAAGGAAAGGAAAAATAAATAACAAATACATTTTTAGGGGAACAAAGCAAAATTTTTAAAGAAATTTTGTCATTGAAGTAAATGAGGCAAGATTTGAATGAATACACAGACTTGCTTCCCAAACCTGTGTATAGTAGCAAATTACCTGAAAATATTTTCTTGCAAAATCTGTAGGCAGGGCGCCAGCTCCCCCCCCCCTTTCCCCATGGAGCAGTTATTCACATGTGATATATTTTCTTCATTAGGTTCAATACAATCTTCTTATATTAAATTCTAAAGTTCTTTGGTAGTGTATTTCAAAGATGTTCATGTGTGGGTATATAGTCGTTCGTGAATCCGTTGTGAAGTAGGCAACTTGGCGATCACTACATATAACTAAGCCAATGGTTAATACGCTCCCGTGCGTACGTCCGTGTGCTGCCCTCTATATACCCACGCTTGAGCAACTTTAATGTGATCAGGATTTCATCTTGCTTTATATCAGTTTTCATATTTGCATAGAACTATTTTCTTAGACATGTACTCTTTGTCATTTTTAAGTAATCATTTCTCTTGATGGTGATTCACTAAATTTTGAATATGATGTGTTGTACAGTTCAAAAACATCTTGCACCATGTAGTATATAGTCTAGTATTAAAATGATAAATACTTTCGACCTGTATATTAGTGTATATAGAGAGCTATGTTATAGAATGAATTGTAATTTTATAATCATGAATTTTTATAAATTATTTCTGATGATTCTGTGCTTGCCTTAAACATGACCCGTTGTTTTTGAAACAGTTTATAATTTTTATTCTGTATTTCACAAGAAATAACATTCCTTCAATAATCATGCATCACTTATCGATTCATTTCTTCCTTCAATAGTGCATTATTGTCAGTTGCGGCTCTTCACATATACATTTTAGCAAACAAAACTTTCAAACTCTACCTCAAAATGCACCCTGATTTCTGAACAATCTATGTAATACTGTAGTTTTTGAGCAAGGCCTCTAAAATGAACTTTAGGTCCACAGTGGTGCTCTGAATTAATAGCAATGTGTTTGTTTATTTTGTGATAAAAAAAACAATCAACTTGTTTATTTGTATCAAACTCTGTCATTACACCGTTGATTCTGAGGAATTGACTTCTTAAAAATTGCTCTAGCTGTATTCAAAATAATGATAGAGATCAACCTTGTACTTCCATGTTCACTAACCATTGTCTATTATGAAACTGTATCATATAGCCTATGTGGGTAATATTGTGTTTTAAATTGGTTTTAAGACGCATTTTGTAAGAAACATTGTAGTCTGTAGAAGTCATTTTTAAGAACCTTGACTATAAGTCCTCTCCAAATAAGTGAAGAGACTGTCCTAGAGAGGGCAGTGCTGTGTTTATCATAATGGATTTATTGCGTGGGTTCGTATCCCACTGCTGCCACCATGTATTGAGACGTGGTTCAGATAAACAAGACACGCGCATATTGCATGGACTTTATTAAGTCATTCGATCCCGTAGGATACGTACATACATGTATATCATAACAACAGAGATACAATGCAAGTCCATGGCATCGTATACAATAAACAGAGCTGCCAACCTTGTGCGACCAAAAAAAGGAATCATGATGGCAAAAAAAAAGGAATTTCAAGCCCAAAAAAAGGAATTCATGAAAACGAAACTTACAACCATGCGCAACACACTTCCAATGCATCATTCATCATGCTGTTTTTTCCATACAAGCAGGTAGTTTTTTTGGTGGTTATTTTGGTATTATCGTCATTTCATTTTTTTTGAGAATATTTTTCTCTTCAAGTACGTGTTAAAATTAGTTTTCTATTGAATTTGTGATCAAATCACCATTTTAGGGCAGTTGTTTGACGTGCGGTATGTAAAAAAAAAAAAAATTATTAAAAAAATTATTAAAAAACTAATTTAATGAAGAAAAAACGTAATACCGTAATTGGGAGGAAAAAACTGGGTAATTCCGGCAAAAACGAAATGGTTGGCAGCTCTGAATAAATTGGTCGTTTGACTAGCAAAATGTTTTCTTCTTCAAAATCACATGAACCTCGCTGCACTAACATACAGTAGATATTATGGGACTGTGTATTCTAGGCCGTCATTAATAAACATATTAAAACTTTGCCTGAATTGTTGTACATGTGTATGTATGTTAGAATGATTATTTTGGTAGTTACTACAGAACCAGAGACTACTGATAACAAGCATGATTGTGACTGTATGCTAGTTGTACAGATAGAGATTTTTTAATTTTTTTAAATATTGTGGGAGTTAAGTGCTCTTTGAGATAAAAAACTGAACAGTATATAAATTATGTTCTTGATGCTATTTGTGATCAATCTAAAAGAAATGTTTGAAATTGTATGGCTGCTTGATAAATATATTGATATGATAATTGAAATTATATTCATTTGTTCATGTCTCCTTCTTTCTGTATTTTATGTATTCTTATGATAGTGAACCATTTGGACGTTTCAAACATGGACGTTTCAAACATGTACGTCTGTAAAATGTTATTGTTTAAAAAACAAAAGCGGAATACAGAGGGCTCTAACACTTTCAATATAAAAATTTCAATTAGTAATCATTTTAATGATAAATTAATCATCGCAGTAATCAGATGTAATGATTTTACCTGTTCATTTTACTTTTGGTTTACTATTGCTAATAATAAAATCACACCATACAAGGTTTTAAAAGGGCATCCCTGGTAAAATACTGTTACAAATCTTTATCAATAATAATAATAATAATTAGATCAATTTATATAGCGCAGCTACTATATAAATAAACTCAACTGCGCTGTGATGATAACAATGCTACTTTATGAACAATAAAAAAAATATATTCAAAAGATCCTGGAAACGAGTGTGTCTTCAACAAAACTTTGAAGACAGCAACAGATAAGGCTTTTCTTATGTCTAGTGTAGGTTATTCCAAAGTTTTGAAGTGGCACAATCTCCAATCCCCAACCTTTGCATTTGTATTTCGATCATATTTGCTTTTAAAGTAAAATGGATCTGAAATTGAAGCTTCTTCATTTGCCCCAATTCTCCTTAATAAACACATAATCATGGCAGCCTATAAACCTATTCCAAAAAGAAATATTTCTCAACTTTGAAAACATGAGTATACAACTCAAAGTATATTGGAATAGGCATGATGTCTTTAAACTTAACAACCATATGTCGATTAAAAATGATAATATAAATGAAAGCAAATGGAATAGTAGCTGTTCGTTAATTCAAACCATACATATTAAATCCCCTTTTTACCATAATTGATAAATAGTGTAGATATATAATTTATATATTCTTCATCATGAACTATAACAAAATAATACATTCAATGTATGTATATTTAGTTTCATCAGAACATTTTAAAATACATATGGATCACGGGACAAATATAGTCCAAATGAGAAATAAGAAATGAAAAGATGACCCCCCCCCCCTCCCCTTAAAAAAAAATGAATAAGCAAAATAAAATCTAGCCAACATTACATCTTTTCTATTACTGTTTTAATTTCTGAAAAGGTGAGCTGGTGATTGGCCAACAAAAAAAATGGCTTATTTTTAGTACAGTAATCTAATGAAAGAAATGTTTAAAAAATCAGTCTCTTTTGAAGGTGACAGGTAATATACTAGACCGAAAGCTTCAGTCTCTCTAATCGTCGGTTGTTCCACTGAGACTACGTCTGGCTCCACTAGACCTCCGATTATATGTATTGGGGAATGACAACAGATGTCAGTTTTATTAAAGAAATGACCCAAATCAGATGGTTATTGCTGTCTAGTAATATACATGCATTATGTATCAGAAAATGTCCAAATGATTTGTGAAATATTTTCACAATTTTATGTGAAATTTTTTCACAACAAAAACACCAGATTATTGATTGCAAAAATTATACATGTAATGGCTCACTTCTCTCCATCAGGTCTTTGCGTTGCGTCGTGTTTCGTGAAACCATAGATCTACCCCCATATTCACGAAAGGTCAGGTAAACTGAATGCAAATAATCACAATTTTTTTTTTCAAGGATGGTCCTTGAAATAAGTAAGCTATACGTAACACACTAGACAAAAAAGCAGTCTACTTCTACATGTATCTAACTTTAGAAAGGAATGGCTGGTTATTGTACGATTAAAAAAGGAAAACAGGGAAATAAGAGAACATGAAAATGTTAGAGTACTTGGTACCACAAATTGTATTGCCAAACTCAGTACATCTGATATCAAGGCCATGTATAGATGATGTAGAATTTTACACCAAAAAAAAAAAAGAAGCAATATATATATACACAAAGACCTTACAAAATCATAATGTATAAAAATATACAAATAATGCCACCCTGTACTTTTAATTAGAAAGAATTATGCTTCCCAAGACATACATGCATTCTCATTATTTACTCAATATACCAAATAATCTATCACCAAAATATATACAGCATTCGGATAAGCTTGCAGCTCTTTTGAAAAGTACAATGTGTTGAAAAATTTTCCTCACAATTCTGTGGCAGAAACACATTAGATATCTTCCATGCCATAACAGAACGTATTAAAAATATCAGTCTCTTTATTAAACACACAATCAAGGTATTTCAACACGCACAAAGTCAGATGAATAATCTCGATATCACATAGAAAGAGCTTTTACATGGAATGAAATGAATATTTGCATATCTTCATTAATCTGAAAATGAATTTGATTCACATTTTGGTCCCTTAAAAATGCATACAAAACATTGATTATACCTGACGGAGTATACAGGCATAAACATAAATATATTTGGAGCTATAATGTATGGACTATGCTTAATACATGTACGCACATATATATTTCATGAACAAGCCTCTTTATGTTGTTAATCAAAATAAATATTACAATTTTTTTTTAAAATACTAAAAATAAAGTAGGAATACTTTTAGAAATCCAATGGATGAAAGGCGATACACTTATAAGGAGAGAATAATATTAAAAAAAACCATTGAAACTTGAATATCAGTGGATTGAACACTCAGTAACAGTTACATTAGTATGTAAACATTTTTTACGTTGTTTTTTCCACTTCATTGTGAAATACAAACAAATTAAAAATTAAGTAAATGATAAGAAATACTCTAAAATATAAAAATATGGATATTCCTAGCAAGCATTGTGGATTATAATACATAATAAATCACAATGAGTTGATAATGCTCTGACATTTATCAAAATGGGTATTGCCTATCAAATAATTAGTATCCGATGCTGACTTTATTTTAATGACAAACTTGATTTGAGTCAAAAAGCGTTTTTACACGATTGCTTTCAATCAAAATACAAAACAATTGGTGAGATGGATGTCATAACTCCTCATGCTCCTCTTCTCTGCCGGTAGATCTATGTGCCTCATCGTTCTCAACTTCACCACCAATGTCGTCCTCCTCTTCCTCTTCATCTCCTTCTTCAACTTCTTCTTCATCATCCTTCTCCTTGTCAAAACTTATATCTGCTGACTTGCATGCTTCCGCGAAAGACTCTGAGTAAGCCTCTTTCATAGACAGTTTCTTATCTCCGTTCTGATCTAAGGACTGAAAGAGCTGTGAGAAATGAAAGGGGCATATTCAGGTAACTGCATGTCATTTGATTCAATAGATATACACGTTACAGAGATGCCAACCTCTTGACACAAAAAAAACAGACTGATATCCTAAAAAAACAGATTTTGAAGAGAAAAATCAGATTTTCATGAAAACTCGACATTACCACTGGCCAGTAAGATTTCAGAAAAAATGTTTAGCTTGTAAGTACGGTCAAGTAAAATGTTTACTCTTTCATTGTAAAGCAAAGTTTTTGTTGGGAGTTGCAGGAGTTACTTGTACATGTTTCTATGCGATCCCACGGTTTTAATGGGTTTAATTTTTTTTTTTTTTGAGAAAAAAATGTTGTTTTTTTTTTTTTTTTAAATCATATTTTAAGGGGTGATATTGTATTATCGTACTTCACTCTTATTATCGTACTAAAAACGACTTAATCTTACTAGGTGGCATCTCTGCATGTATAATGGCAAATTCTTTAGAAATAAAGCATCTCACATTGACAGTTTCTGCTCTATATTTCTATCCAAAGACTGACTTGTCAGAAACAGCAAAAGACATATTCAAATTCCTGCTGGGTACAGAGTGCCTCACAAAAATGAGTACCCCCTCTACAAGAATCAGTGTAACTTTGATTACAGCTTCACAAGAAACAAAAGTATAAGTTTATAATATAATGGACATTCTTAGTTGTGCACGCAGGCACAAGGCTGTAATTCCATGAAAACAATTACAACTGTGTGCAAAAAATGCACTGAAATTATTGTAAAATCTGTATATTTTTGCAAACAGACAAACGGAGGGATGAGAAAACATTACTAACCTGTGTAATTTGCTGCTTTGTTGACCGCTGGATTAGATCATACATCTCCTCCACTGTTATTAACCCACCGTATACCTCAATCCCATTGGCTATTTCAGATCTGAAATATTAAAAAGTCAGAACAAACACAATCATTAAAGATTCTGTGATTAATCTTCTAGAGAAATATACACCACTTCTTCAGTTTGTTTCATAAGTTGTTCCTACACCATTACCACACAACCTTTGTATTATCACTATGACTATCAGTGATATTCTTTAAAATGTACTTGTGTCTCTTTGAAAACTAGTCTGTTCTTTAACCTTTAAAAAGATAAATCCAAACAATAGTTGCTATCAAACTATTATAATAACTTTAAACATAAAAGATTACTGATTTATTGCCGGATTTATTGCCGGATTTACAGTCAAACAAGCACAGAGATCAAGTCAGGCCTTGTGCCACTCTCTTAAAGGTAAAGACCAGTTCTGGTCTTGCGATTGCATTGTGAAAGAAACGTTGTGGAATCGGTCAGAAAAGGTTGATCATCTAGCATATAAGTAGTGGTGTCTACTGCAAGGTTCGGAATCATCAAAATGATAAGAAATTTGACCCAGTCTTGGTAAAGTTACTGTAAAGCACTGTACACAGAAAGATTTGTATGGGACTACCCGGCACATGCGCGATACCAGAAATATCAATTAGTAGGTATTTTTCCGGCAAAATTTGTATAATCACGCATCAGTCAAAGCATATTCTTTCACATGATTGGAAATAAGAGCTTCCACTTCATTTTTTGAGAGGGGGGCATTTCCAAAACTAATCTTTACCTTAAAGTAACACAAACTTTAAAACAACACTTGCATACAATGACATTATCCATAAATACCTCAAAATTTCTAGGTGACTGGCTCTCGTTTTGAAGCTGCTCAGGGGTACGTATTCTGGTAAGGCCATGAGTTCATCTGAGCAATCGGTTTCATTAAACCAGAGTCGATGGATGAACCAGACGTTCACGGCTAGATTTCGACCCCATGACCTGACAGCATGAAACCATCTAAAGAAAGAACAATGATAATTCTGACATAAAATTTTAATCATAAAGAGTCTGGGGGGGGGGGGACTGAATTAGCCTCCCCCTCCTCTATTTTCGCGATTACTTTGTAATCCTTAATATTTGACGGTGCCACTTCATGATTTTTTTCTTAAGTCTTACATGAACCTCTGAGTAACCTTGCCCTGTATATGGAGAGGTAATCCCCTCTCCCTATCTTGGTATTAAACCAGGAAACAGGATCCAGACCAGAGATTACTGCTTTACAAGAGGGCACAAAAGTATTCTATTGTTTTGAACCGAGACCTCCCAGTGACAAGAGCACTGCTCTGCCACTGCACCACCAAGACCCAGTGACCAATTCCTTAAAGCCTCACTCCACTACTTACAGCTAGTTGCACCCTCTATATAGCAAACAATGCCTAATCGATGCATGTTGGTCCCCCATGATCCCCTTTTTCTTATGTTAATTGAGAGCTGATTTGATGAGATAACCACCTGCCAGTGACCTTGCAGAAAGGTCTAATCCTGCTGGCCAAAGTAGTACAGACAGGCTTTAAACTCACCTGTACGGTATGAAGAGGCAATCACCTCTCTCCATTGTGACGTTATACTAGAGAACCTTGCAGGGAGGTCTAATCCCCCTGGCCAAAGTAGTACAGGCAGGCTTTAATCTCACCTGTACGGTATGAAGAGGCAATCACCTCTCTCCATGGTGACGTTATACCAGGGAACCTGCCCAAGACCAGGGTACTTGGTGAGGTCCACTTTGTCCACGTCAACGCCACTGAATGATTGTTCGGGATGATCAATGTTAATGTTGGCTTGCTCTCTCTGAAGAAAAATACAGGTAGACACAGTCATAGGCCAGTATTCTACTAAAATTTAAATCCTATTTTGGGTTCAAACTGCTCTTTTTTGCAATTTGTCCCTCGCCTTATTCACTATGAACATGACGTACAAAGAAAGAGGACAAAATATACAGCTCCTCATTCTACCCTCAACAATTGCTGTGGTAGACAAAGGAACATCCCTTCACTGCTATTATGTAAAAATGTGTAGAACAGGTGAATATGCATGTGACACCTGTTCTACACATTTTTGACATGATAGCAGTGAAGGGATGTTCCTTTGTCTACCACAGCAATTGTTGAGGGTAAAATGAGGAACTGCATATTTTGTCCTCTTTCTTTGTCCGTCATGTTCATAGTGATTGTTGCACCTCTTATTTTTTCTTCTTTTTCCTCTTATCTAATTTCATTTGTATTTAACATAATTTACATGCTTATCTAGTAGCTCAATGTTCATAATTTACTAGGGAATCTACAATGTACAAGCTTAGCTTTTTACCAGATTCACCCATTTCACTACAAATGCATTTGTCTAATTTCAGTTTAAATACAATGCAATTGAATCTATATCTCTGTATGATATTTTGACCTTATTATTACTTTCATTGCTTGATATTATTGTATGTATTTTTGCTTTAGCATTAACCATTTGCTTTAATAACAAAATACATTTTAACTAAAAGCTATTAAATGCAGCTCAGAGAGAAGATTAAATAATGAGTCATCTACTGATCAAAGCTTATAGACACAAGCCATATCAGGTCAGGCATTGACTTCAATCATCATCGCTGCTACAATTTGTTTATATTGTAATGTGATGGGACTTGAACCCAGGACCTTCAGATTGTCAGTCAAGACAACAAACCACTACACCACAATACCTACACTACACATACAGACTGCAAATAAGGGGTAAATACTTGAAAAAGCTAATAGGAGCAAAAGTGATCACAAAGACTTACATGTGTCTGTGCTAACAACCCTTCACTTTATTAGCAGTATTCCAACCATTTTCATTTAAGAACTATTTAGTTAAAACTTGACTATAATTTTTCACATGTCATTTAAATGATTTAATGGAAATTGCATTGTCTATGATGCCTGATGATGCCTGATCTTCCCCATTTTGTATGGCTGAACATTTTTACCTTGTCAACTAAGAAGACTTCCTTGCTCCCGTCCATGATGCAGTTGATGTTGTCGACCCCATCAAAGTGAAGAACAGACTTTGTTCCTCCGCTGCTGTACCACAGTATGGTATCCACAAGTGACGTGGGAAAGCCGCCACAGAGAAGGCATCTTAACAGGCAAAACTCATCTATCATCATAAAATTTTAGTTCATTTGCATTATTATTATTACGTACATATAAGAGGCACAACTCATCTTGCATCATAAAAAGTAGTAAATTTGGACTGATTTTTTATTCAGTGCTTTTAAATTCCATGCATAACGATATGAAGCAGAACCATTTGCAGAAAGGGTGGTTAACATTTTCTCTGGGCTTTGTAGCATCGAAAATACAATGTTGGGATTAGGTTTAGGGTTGCCTGTTTTTTTTTGTTAGGTTTAAAAATTATTGTCAATATATCATCAATTTCACACCGAGTAACAACTTTAACAAACTTACTGAAGTTTAAGATCAACATCAAGAAAATGAAAGTAACAATCAACCCTCTAAGCAAATGGTAATGTATGTATTTCCACGTAAAACAGTCAAGGTCATAAAATGTTTTAGTTTAATTAGTCTCACAAGATATTTGAAGGTTTTACATTGGTTTTGATTATTGTTTTTACCAGACTGCTAAGAATGTGAGTGTATGCTCATTGGTAGGCAACCAGTGGAGCGACACCTTTAAGTCCTCTCCAAGGGACTTGGTAATGACTGAGGATTAATACCTTAACAAAAGGCACTAGCACATCGACTTGTTTTTTAACACGGGATCTCCCAGATACGAGACTGCTAATCTACAGCTGAGCCATCGCACCTAGACAATGGAGGACGGGTCTTCAGACATCATTACTTTAAAGGCATTGTTTAACAATGCTAAATATGACATGCATGGCCCTACATGTTATCAGTGTCTGTGATATGGTGTAATATCGAAGCCCTTAAAAATAATCATAAAGTGCCTCAAAAAAGTAAACATCTTTGAGTGACCGGTTTTACCATATTCATTTTCCCCAGTAGGCCGGTGTGTTATAAAGTCTGTTACAAAAACAAATACCGGAAATCTCTGTGTATAAGGCGCACCTGTGTATAAGGCGCACCTCTATTTTTGAGACTTAAAAAAAAAAAATTCCTTTGGGGTTTGCTTTTTTGCCGCCACCATCTCGGATTCTCTTATTTCAGCGTGCGGTCCCGTTCGGAAACCCAAGCCATGATGCAGGGAATTGGGAAGGACTTTTATTTATTACGAGTTTACAGTCGAAAAGTCAAAGTCAAAAAGAATAGTGACAATGTTGTTTTTAAAACTAAAGATGACAGAAAAATTTTCCACCCGAGTCCAAACCGAAATTTAGACAGGCTAGTTTTCTAGTGGTGATCCGATATCCCCCGTGTAAGTGAGCTGCATGATACAGGTGAGTGAGCTTGAGACACGGGAGAGCTTCGGCCGGCAAAGTGCTTTGTGAAGACTGAAAAAAAAAAAAAAAAAAAACTCTCTTCCCTTCAAATTAGGAACGTAGTTTAACTCTAAATAGTAGATCCCATTCTTTATTTGCATTATGTAATTCACGTTGAGACACAGAGATTTTCGGAAACCACTAAAAAGTAGCATTTTGAGGACTCAAAGTTTCCTGATTGCAGCATGAGCTAAATCCAGGATTTTGTTTCAGAATCTGAGACGAAGTTACCCAATCCATTTACATCCTACCCCAGCTGGAAGCAAGACTTACCCGACATCTCCGGAGGCACATCGGTGACCAAATAGACATCTTCCTTCTGGTATTTCTGAATGAAATTTGACAGGGACATATGCCAGAGATCCTTGGACCTATTCTCCTTCTTCCCCTCTTCCACCTCTACCTTCAGATGACCGTAGCTTTTGCTGGAAATAGATCAGAAAACACTTTAAAACTTTAAGAACTGAATACATTAAACAAACAGTTACAACAAACATATTCCTGAAAAAACAAGTTAACAACAAATATTTGTTTTAAAAAAAATCAAGTAAATGTATATATTTTTTTATTCAATAGCACCCAAGGCACCTCAGAGGTGGAGGTATAAAAATACACTCGCAAAGGAGACAAGGAAATCAGTCTTTATAGGCGGATAGTCTCAATGCATGGGTCAATGTAATACAATGCAACGTGCAACACTTCTCAATTCTATATCTTACAGACACATACCGGTAGTCTTTCTATACAGGTGGTTGCTAAAGCAGGTTTGACTGTGGTTCTATCCCCGACATGGCACTAATGTCCGTTGGCAAGGCATTAATCTTCACTCGACCCAGATGAGGTAAATGGGTACCTGGCAGGAATTAATTTCTTGAAATGCTGGAGCGCTGTAATGGCAGCTAGGCTAAAGCTGGGGTAATAATAAACGCGCCTCGGAATAGAATTTCTAGATAATAATAATAATAATAATAATAGCCTAATAGTCCACTCCAAATTTTATTAAACTGAAACGGAAATTCTTTTTGCCCAATTGGTCGTGAGCCCGGCAGCCACTGAGCAGCGCCAGATCGACGTTGCTCTATCCCTTATTGTTGAACACCAAACAAGGTAGCAACAACTCCCATCTTTTAACGTCTTTTGGTATGACGCGGCCGGGGTTCGAACCCACGACCTCCCGGTTGTGAGGCAGACGCTCTACTGACTGAGCCAACACTCCGATAGACGGCGATATAGAAATGCCTTTAATTATTATTATTATTTACTGTAATTTATTCTACCTCAGGTATTCGTCCGTCCATAGCTTGTAGGAATCCATGTTCTGTGCAGCTCCTTTGAAGATAACTGGACTCCCATCCTTGACGTACCGATTGAAGAAGTCCAAAGGATCCGGCACTCTGTGAAGAACATCTATTCCTGGATCCTCTGGAGGCCTAATCATGAGACAGAGAGAGGAAGAGAGAGAGGGAGAGAAAGGGAGAGAGAGAGAGAGGGAGAAGGAGAGGGAGAGAGAGAGAGAGATTAAATGTAAAGAATCAACCCATTGAGAAGTAGAGGACATAAAAAAGAAACCTAAATCTCACTCTAATGGTTTTTTTACTTTTTTATAAAGAAAAATATATATATACATGAGCAGAAAAACAATTTACCTTTGGAAAACCCCTAAATAATTGTCACAATGAAACATCAATATTCTAGTGTAAGGAAATCCCTACCTTACAATGACAAATAACTAAAGAGCTTTTATGTTTGAAAAAAAGAGAAGGAAAAAAAAAGTATTTTAAAGTGTCCGATTATAATGAAAGTGACCTTTGTGCTTATTCTAGAAACTGGGCTCTGTCTTTCTTGTTGAAACTGCACGTTTATGAAACAAGCAAAACAATACGGTTTAATCTAAGCTATCATTTATCAAAGTCAGAAAACAATAAATATTGTCAACTGTATTCTATCAAACTATGCTGCCTGAAACAAATAAATACTATATGGTTAAAGATTGCTTCTATTTATAAGAAAAAAACATCCTTTTGCTCCTTGCATTATCGTGTAAAAATGGTATAGAGTAAAGGAGCCGGTAATCGGCCAGCTCCAGTTTTCGGACGATTGGTTGGATGCAAGGTAAAATCACTCTAAAATACATCGCATAATAGCATAACACATATCCCACACCAGCGCTCAAAATACACAGGGGCGGTGGGCGATTCGCCCCCGTGAGCTACATAATCGCCCCCGTCAGGTTGCTCACGGGGGCGATTGCAAAATTAAAAATCGCCCCCGTGGAATTATAAAATAAAGATTTTCTTTTCTGTTATAACTTTAACACAATATTGAGTTTCAATTTTCAAATGAAATGGATTAGCGTGCAAGATTTCTAAGTTTTTGGTTGCTGCTTTATATGTAGTTGATAATGCATGATTAAAGTAATGAGAGAGAGAGAGAGAGAGAGAACCACCATCATTTTGCAATGGTTCAGGGTTCGTGTAATGTACATTTGAAACCATTTCTTAGCGTCTCAACCCTAACAAAATGGCAAAACTATTTTTGAGGAAAAGCATTATACTGAATTAAATAAAGAATAATAGCTTTATATTGCATCATACTAATACTGATACGGGCTAAAGACAATGTGGTATTTGTATAGAGGTATTCCAAAATGACATTCTGATAATCAACATTTGTTCTGGTATCATAATGTATATACGCATAATACAACTGATCTTTATGATTTCTTAACGTGACATAGCTTCTTTTCCCCCTGCAAACAAAAAAGAAAACAAGGTTATTTAATAAAAGGATCATGCGACAAATAATCATTGTGATTCAAATTGATGCAAGGATTTTTTTGAATAAGCAATGCTTTTCACCAGAATCTTCTTTGTAAAAACGACTTTTACAAATCTCAGCCATGCAAATCTGCCACTGTGTTGTAAGATCACTTTCAGATTAGGAGAAGTGTATTCTTTAATGAGTATTTTACATTGAATGGAACGTCTCAACTCAGTAAGCATGGCTGAGATTGGTAAAAGTTTGTATTCAAACAAATATTCGCATCAATTTGAATCACAATCATTATTTGTCGCTTAATCCCTTTTAATGACCTTGTTTTCTTTCTCGTTTGCAAGGGGAGAGGAAGATATGTCACGTTAAAGACATCATAAAGATCAGTGTTGTATGCGTATATATTATATACACAGGCCAGTAACAGCTATGTAGCTTGTAAATTTGTAAGAGGGAAAATGCTGATTGGAATGATAATGATGAAATAGCAAATAATTGAGGAGTATCATAGGTACCAATTCAATGGATATTTGTATAAAAAAGAGCCCCCGTCAGTACTAAAAGAGCCCCCGTGAGAAGGCTCACAGGGGCTCTTTTTTCGGGGGAAGAGCCCCCGTGGACAAAAAATTAATTTGAGCCCTGTCCCACACATACCATACCATGCCAGTGTCACTGAAGAACCACATTTGCAATGAAAAATATATCCTAAAATATCACATTTTAGCGATGTTATCGGCGGTCCCGCTACCCGAATCTGAAAAATCGAGTATCTTACGCGTGTCTGTAAGAAATATGGGTACCATAAAATGAGCTTTATTTCAAGTATTTTTCAGATTTAGAGCCCGATTTTGTGCTAGTCGCAAGCTCAAAAGTATCTCATCGCATGTATTAAATCAATGCAGCTGCACACCGCAACGCACACACGATATCTCTGTCTAATTCAGATTCCAATATCCGATCACCACAGTACTAGTTTTCGGCCTGGCGAGCTCCGGCGTGGGATATCTGCTCCGCCCGCTAGTGCTATAGATCAGCGCGGAAACGCACGGCGCGTGCGCGCGCTTCCTATTGACTTTGTACGTGCGGCCGAAAACTGGTACGCTATGCCGAAAACTGACTCCGAAACAGTGAAAATTGAAATGAATATTGTCATGGCAATTTTTTTCTGGGATTCTTGTTTTGTTTAAATAATAATAATATTTGCTTCATGATTTGAACAAAAAATGATAATAAATAGGAAGTAAACGGTCCTAAAAATAGGATTTTGTCTTAAGTGGCCGAAAACGGGCTGCTTTACTCTAGGGCTTGGGGTGTAATTTTGATGGAGATTCGGGGAGATACAATGTTGGGTTTAGATTTAAAGGTGGGACTTTCATTGGTGTTGGAAATTCCCAGGAGAGCAAATTTTGTCAGAACATGTGTCATTACTGCTAACCATGGTTCCTTCTACTTCTACATCGATACTTGACAGGATCCATAAAATTAAGTCAGGATATAACGCCAAGGTTACTCGGGTGTGCAGGTGGACCACTACAACGGGGTTTCCCCCTATTCTTATACGAATAGTGCAGTGGGTTCTTAACATGCAAAGGTAGTGACTCTCCTGTACACATCATGACATGGACTCCATTTAACATCCTATCCGAGGGACATCGACATCACTCACCTATGTGACCCTAGAGGTTTCAAATGACCTGGAAGATCAGCGCCTTGCACACCATCTCCTTGGGGAACAACATCAGGTGTACTGTGCATCGCCGCATGCTGCTCTGGTAAAGATGCCACACTGCCACGACTGTTGGACAGAACCAACAGGAAAATCGCCTGGTAAATTAGAGTGGGCAGAGAGAAGCAGACGGGAGAAGTTGTCATCTTGGAAGCTCGGAGCTGTGATCTAGGATGTCCACTGACCTGTTTGCATGAGGCAAATGACAAAGATTACAGAATATTAAGCAAACACACGTCTGAGGCCTGATGTTAGCTTTCAGTAAGACTAAGAAGAGTTCCTTGGCCGCAAACTGGCCGGTTAATACCACATACAAATCTTAACACGACCATGGTACACAAATTTAAATATGTGGGGCAATGCTTAACAGTTTTTTCAGCTCGGAGTCAGACTCGGTTCAAATCCATATTCATCTTATCCCTTGGCTTTATGGCTTTATATTCTACATTATTAAAATGGTATATTATGACTTAAGTAGTTTACACTGGTTTACATGGGCCATTTTTCTCTAACTTCGCGTCTTACGGTCTTACCTCCGTGCTTTCGGCGAAAAATGTCACGGCAATTCACACACGCGTCTATGACGGGCGGATTGCGCCTATGACGGGCGGATCGCGCCATAAAGATGACAACTATACAACTATACATCCATCGAATGGATGTAAGGTTTTAACCAATCAGAACGCAGGAAACTGTACAACTATACAACTATACAACTATACGACTATGCAACCATACAGCTATAGAACGTATGTAAGGTTGTTACGTTTGCGGGCCGAAATGCCATAATTGCGAACAACCATACATCCATTCAGCTTTATGGTTGTACGGTTTTAACCAATCACAATGCAGGAAACTATACAGCCATGGCGGCGAGAATGTCTGTATAGTTTTATGCCTGTATGGTTTTAACCAATCATAATGCAGGAAACTATACAGCCATGGCGGCGAGAATGTCTGTATAGTTTTATGGCTGTACGGTTTTATCCAATCACAATGCAGGAAACTATACAGCCATGGCGGCGAGAATGTCTGTATAGTTTTATGGCTGTACGGTTTTATCCAATCACAATGCAGGAAACTATACAGCCATGGCGGCGGAAATGTCTGTATAGTTTTATGGCTGTACGGTTTTAACCAATCATAATGCAGGAAACTATACAGCCATGGCGGTGAGAATGTCTGAATTTAGCCGACACTTATGCCTCTAAAGCCATTGAATGCTGAACATAGCCGAAGCAATGATGGAATAAATAAAAATAAAAATTGATCTTATAGGCCTACTAGTACTAAATAATATTGGATCTAGTGGTAGATTTACTAGTAGTCGACCAGAACTAGATCTAGACTAGGTGATAGCTAGGTCTAGTACTAGTACTAGTACTAGGCCTAGATCTAGTGCTTAATTAGTACTGCTACTACTAGGTCTAGCCTAGTACTATTCTATTTAATTTAGTGGACTATTACTATACATAGACCTAGACCTACTAGTAAATAGTAGATCTAGACTATTATTAGACTAGACCTAGATCTACTCTAGTAGACTAGATCTAGGTCTATTATAGAAATATTAGTAGACTATAGGCCTATATTTACTCCTATTTAGATCTACTAATACTAGACTAGGTCTAGATCTAGATCTAATTTCCTAAATCGGCAACTGTAGATCTAGACCTAGGTCTATTTAGATCTAGTCTAGGGTATATAGGGTCTAGATCTCTCTCTAAGCAACAGACCCATCGGCAAATGTATATATAGACTACAACATGATTATTCCTAATGACGTGGAGGACCTACATTGTTATCAACTGCACGAATAAATTAAATTAATTAATTTGTACCTTTCCTAACCGAACATTAAACTTTGGTGGACATTTGCAGTTGGACCTGGATGAATTTATATGAATGGGACTGAAATGCATGAACTGGTGCAATTCGCCCATCTTTTTCCAAGTTGGGGAGTAATATTTGTATGTTTATTTAGAATATCGTTCGGTTAAACAACAAATTCTTTGCCTTAATTGCATAAGTTTAGCGATGCATGGCTAGTCTATATAATTTCCTGCATTGTGATCAAAACCGTATAGCCATAAAACTATACAGACATTCTCGCCGCCATGGCTGTATAGTTTCCTGCATTGTGATTGGTTAAAACCGTACAACCATAAAGCTGAATGGATGTATGGTTGTTTGCAATTATGGCATTTCGGCCCGCAAACGTAACAACCTTACATACGTTCTATAGCTGTATGGTTGCATAGTCGTATAGTTGTATAGTTGTATAGTTGTACAGTTTCCTGCGTTCTGATTGGTTAAAACCCTACATCCATTCGATGGATGTATAGTTGTATAGTTGTCATCTTTATGGCGCGATCCGCCCGTCATATGCGCCATAAAGATGACAACTATACAACTATACATCCATCGAATGGATGTAAGGTTTTAACCAATCAGAACGCAGGAAACTGTACAACTATACAACTATACAACTATACGACTATGCAACCATACAGCTATAGAACGTATGTAAGGTTGTTACGTTTGCGGGCCGAAATGCCATAATTGCAAACAACCATACATCCATTCAGCTTTATGGTTGTACGGTTTTAACCAATCACAATGCAGGAAACTATACAGCCATGGCGGCGAGAATGTCTGTATAGTTTTATGCCTGTATGGTTTTAACCAATCATAATGCAGGAAACTATACAGCCATGGCGGCGAGAATGTCTGTATAGTTTTATGGCTGTACGGTTTTAACCAATCACAATGCAGGAAACTATACAGCCATGGCGGCGAGAATGTCTGTATAGTTTTATGGCTGTACGGTTTTATCCAATCACAATGCAGGAAACTATACAGCCATGGCGGCGGAAATGTCTGTATAGTTTTATGCCTGTACGGTTTTAACCAATCACAATGCAGAAAACTATACAGCCATGGCGGCGAGAATGTCTGTATAGTTTTATGGCTGTACGGTTTTAACCAATCACAATGCAGGAAACTATACAGCCATGGCGGCGGAAATGTCTGTATAGTTTTATGGCTGTACGGTTTTAACCAATCACAATGCAGGAAACTATACAGCCATGGCGGCGAGAATGTCTGTATAGTTTTAACCAATCAGATTAAACAAAAGCGTACATCTTTATTTCCACGTGCATCTCGACCTTTTTATATCTAGCTTGCTAATATAGATCGTTCCGCTGTTAAATTTTTCAATTTAAATAGTTAGAGTCCAATTTTTGCCGCAATTATCACCATGTCATCCGGAAGCTTTTCCCCACCTCGAAGTCAATGGATCTTTTTTATGATTGTGGTAAGTAGAGGTACTATTAACTACTACTACCCGAGACTGTACAAATATAATTTAACATAGGGCCTAGAGTATAGTCGATCTAGACTCTAGTCATCTAGGCTCAACCCTGAGAGAGTCTGGGGGCTCCACATTCTGAACTTGAAACTATAGAGTCATTCTACTTTGGTCCGTCCTATTATTATTATGATTATAATCATTATTGCTTAGACCTACTTCCTTCTAAAGTTTAGCAGGAGACAGTCATAACTTAAAGTAAAGTATTGTTAAAGTTAAACTGGACAGTGCACTGTTCCCTGCCCCTGGGGGATGTTTCAATCAATATCATACACTAAAAATGATTTCGATTTAAGAAATCAATTTTAAGGCCGATAATCGTGAGTTGTTCGTGTTTCATCTAGAATCTAATCAAGATAGAACATGTCTTTTCTATTTCCTTTTTCTGTTGAAAGATACCATAGCGATATGAAGTAGAATTTTACTCTAGATCTATTCCGGACCCAGGCGCGTACGCAGGGGGTAGGGGGAGGGGGGGGGGGGTCAATTTTTCAAATTTCGGGACCCCCCCCCCCCCCCCCCCCAAAAAAAATGTCCTCTTATCCCCCCCCCCCCCCCCCCGCTTATTCAGCGGCTGGCTGAGTCAATCCGATTTTTTTGGGACCCCCCCAAAAAGAAAACAAGTGTCCTCTTATCCCCCCCCCCCCCCCCCCGCTTATTCAGCGGTTGGCTGAGTCGCTGCGAAATTTTTGGCCAGATTTATAAAAAAAAAAAAAAAACTTGAAAAAATCCTGCGTATGCCACTGATGGGACCTAATGGCAAGTAATGGCTAGATCCTACATATATGAACAATGCAGAGCACATTGTCAACGATGTTATTTATAAATTACCAGACTAGACTAGATCTATACGGTCGTTTTGACGCCAGAATTCCGGGTTTCGGTTATCTTTCACTAATTTAGTGTGCTAAATTATTTTGGTAGCTAACTTCAGTCAACATGCGCGCTTATATGCGTTATGAATCCTGAATACATGCATTGACGCGCGCGCGCACGGGTTTAAAATGACACAGTGCATTGCAGGGGCTATTGAATCCGATTCAATATGAGGTACGGTCTACATGTAATTATTATAAGGGTATGAAATGAACCATATATTACCACCTTGGTTTGAGGCAGTTTAACTAGATATGAACAGACAGTCTGCTGTCGAGAGGGAATAGGGGGGATACTCATTTTTCTGGATGGTTAGAGGTAGCCAGAAAAGGGGGGGGGGGGGATAGTTTTGGGATATAAAGGAGTAATACCTATATAACAACTCGTATTGCATCACGTGCATAAAATATATCATACTAGGTCGAATCATTATATTCGATCCAACTTCGATCTTGTTACTGACGTACAAGATTATAATACAAGAAATAGCCGATTCAACTTTAACTTACCAGAAAGAGTAGGTAGTATTGGAAATTCGTTTTATTACAATGCCATAAAACATAGGAATTCCCTTCCCAATGGTGTAAAAGAAAAAGGAAACTATGCTCATTTTAAGAGGAAATTAAAGGAATACCTAATACTTGACAGTCAGAGAAGAGAAGTGAATGACATGTTATATGATTGAAATTTGTATTCTTCTGTCGGTTCATACTATTTCATGTTGTATATACTTATGTTTTCGTACGTTATAGAAATTCTACAAATTCATCATTATTTTCCTCTTCTTCCTCCTCCTCTTTTTGTTCTTCTCCTTTTTCTTCTTGTACTTATTATCATTTCTATCGCCAGTTTAATGTTGTTATTATTATTATTATCTGTAATAAGTAATTCTTTTAATTTTGTTATCTGTCTGTAAATATTACTATTTTAACTTATTAATTGTATACATGTCTGCAAGGGACCCCACTGGAAATAAGCTCTCGAGCTTTCGTGGGTTATCCTGTTCAAGCTGACCTTTTTTTGGATCTGTTATTATTGTATGTTGTTGTATGTTGGAAGCTTGTCGAATGAAAATCAATCAATCAATCAATCAAACTTTCTTGGTTTTAGGGTTTCAATTAAATAGAACAGAGAATGGGACTAGTGTTGGGAAAGGAGAAGGGGGATGGCATAACAATGTTTTATGGATAGCTAGGGGTAGCCAAGGGGGGGGGGGGGTAAAGGGTTGGAAAAGGGGACTTAAAGGAGTATAATAATGTTACCTCCTTCGTTTTAGGGTTTCAATTAAATATGAACAGAGAATAGGACGAGTGTCGAGAGGGGAGGGCATAACAATGTTTTATGGATAGCTAGGGGTAGCCAAGAGGGGCGGGGGTAGGGTTGCATAAGGGGACTTAAAGGAGTATATGTTACCTCCTTGGTTTTAGGGTTTCAATTAAATATGAACAGAGAATAGGACGAGTGTCGAGAGGGGAGGGCATAACAATGTTTTATGGATAGCTAGGGGTAGCCAAGGTGGGCCGGGGGGGGGGGGGTAAAGGGTTGGATAAGGGGACTTAAAGGAGTATAATAATGTTACCTCCTTCGTTTTAGGGTTTCAATTAAATATGAACAGAGAATAGGACTAGTGCTGGAAGGGGAGAAGGGGGATGGCATAACATGTTTTATGGATAGCCAAGGGGGGGGGGGGGTAGCTAGGGTTGGAAAAGGGGACTTAAAGGAGTATAATTATGTTACCTCCTTGGTTTTAGGGTTTCAATTAAATATGGACAGAGAATAGGACTAGTGTCGAGAGGGGAGGGCATAACAATGTTTTATGGATGGCTAGGGGTAGCCAAGGGGGGAGGGGTAGGGTTGGATAAGGGGACTTAAGGATTATAATTATGTTACCTCCTTGGTTTTAGGGTTTCAATTAAATATGGACAGAGAATAGGACTAGTGTCGAGAGGGGAGGGCATAACAATGTTTTATGGATAGCTAAGGGTAGCCAAGGGGGGCGGGGGTAGGGTTGGATAAGGGGACTTAAGGATTATATGTTACCTCCTTGGTTTTAGGGTTTCAATTAAATATCAACAGAGAATAGGACTAGTGTCGAGAGGGGAGGGCATAACAATGTTTTATGGATAGCTAGGGGTAGCCAAGGGAAGGGGGCCGAGTAGGGTTGGATAAGGGGACTTAATAAAGGAGTATAATAATGTCACCTCCTTGGTTTTAGGGTTTCAATTAAGAATGGGACTAATGTCGAGAGGGAGGGCATAACAATGTTTTATGAATGGCTAGGGGTAGTCAATGGAGGGGGGGGGGGGTAGGGCTGGAAAAGGGGGTAAAAAGGATTATATGTTACCTCATTGGTTTTAGGGTTTCATTTGAATATGAACAGAGAATAGGACTAGTGTCGAGGGAGGAGAAGGGGGAGGGCATAACAATGTTTTATGGATGGCTAGGGGTAGCCAAGGGGGGGGGGGGAGGTAGGGAAGACTGTTAGGGAGCCTCCTCAGAGCATGAATAACGCATGAACAATTGCACAGCAAAATTTGATATGGACACTTTATTGAACTTTTATTCTCTCCACATTTCAGGTGCTCTGTTTTATTCACGATGCCACTGCAATGCCACTTGTCAATAGGGAGGAGAGGGCGAATCTACCAAGTATCCACCAGTTTCTGTACCGTTGTGAAATGATCGTCATGATGGTACAGAGGCGAATAAATGAAGCCCCAGGGCCTGAGAACGTTGCCATTTCAATCCGTGAACTTAACACTGTATTTCAAAACGTTGAGCGTCTTGCAACCTACGATAGGCTCAGGGAACGGATGCAGAGGGTGATGGCCTCTGTCACAGCACTTATCACCAACCTGAACACACATCGGCCTGCCCCTCAGGAAGTAACAGTATGTAATCGAGTGCCAGAAGGTCGTAGAGGTGCTCCGCGTTATAGCATTACACAAGAACAGATTCGCTTTGTTGTCCAGAACCGTTTTACAATATCCAATATGACAACAATGTTTTACCCCGCATCACGAAGAACACTAAATCGCCGTTTGGGGGAGGCAAATTTCAGGAGGAGTAGATTCGTGCAAATAAGTGACGTTGACTTAGACAATTCAGTATTGCAATATCATAATCGATTTCCGAATGCTGGATGGAGGAGTATGCAGTCTCTCCTTCGCCAAGGGGGTATATTCGTTGCTCGAGAGAGAATAAGGTCCGCTTTACGACGAGTCGACCCAGGTGGTGTAGCGATTAGATGGGGTACAACCATACAAAGGAGAAGATACTCTGTTCCTGGTGCCAATTCACTTTGGCACATTGATGGACATCATGCCTTAATCAGGTAATTATGCTCAGAAAGCTGCATTGACAGGATCAAGATAAGATTTTGATGTGTGGTACGCTCAAAAATGAAGACAGGGCTAGGTTTCCGCTTGGTTGTATATGAACTCAACGATATGCCAGTTGAGCAATTTTATTCAACCTGAAAGTAGAATAAAAATAAGCATCCTCAGTATACATGTCTATAACACATAAAATGTACTGAACTAAATCAGTATGCATTTATCCGGTAATGTATAATCAAAAGCCTTAAATAGCATTCATTAAAAGTCTTGACTCTATATCCAAAAACTCTCTAAAAGGCCTAAACCCCATTAATCTCTATGTCAAAATAACATATCTTGACAGAAATACTGCTTTCATAAAAACCCAAGTGACCAAGGTCCCCAGCCTAGATAAATTCCTAGTCAAGACTACCTTTAAATATAGGCTTAATAAATAAATCCCATCTTACTCAAAGTATGTCAAACTTGTCTTTCTTATTTAGACTCATTGAACTTTCATTATAAATTCCAAAAAACCTGACTGTAATTCAGTATTTTTCTTTCATAACTTTGATTTATCCGACACTTATTTCATATGTCAATACCAATATTTGTCAACTAAAACAACCTTAAATCAACCTCTGACTAATGTCATTGTTAGTAGGTGATTTCAAAAGCACAAAATCCCTCTTTATAAATGTGTGAATTAAACACTAATTAAATACCGCACATACTTTCAGCTGAGCTGAATTTGGCGACCGCTAGTTCGCGACCACTAAAAGGTCAGTGTACTTTCGTGGACCATATACGTGGTTAAAACCTAGATAGAGAATAGTGCGTACGGTTTATGCACAATAGTCCCATCAGTATACTTTTCTGCAGGTATAAGATACTGTACAAATACTGCTGTGGCTTTCGTCTCGCAACTAGAAGAAAGTTACCATCCTCCCTACTTTTCGTTGACAATCCTTTTTCTTAGTTATTTACACCAGGTGATAGGGGAGATAGTGCATGAGAACCCCATATATGTCCAGCTCTGGAACACTCTTCCCAAAATTTGTCAGATTGATTTAAAGTTTGGGATAATTTCAGAATTCTTAGGAAATGATCATATCGACCGCTTGGTGGTTAGTGGTCGCGGGTTAGCGCCTTAGTGGTTAGCGGTCGAGGGGTAGGGGGAACTTCAACCCCCTCCCTACCTTACGCCGACATTTCTGTTTCTTAGTTATTTACACCAGGAGATAGGGGAGATTGTGCACAAGAACCCCATACTGTATGTGTCGAGTTCTGGAACACTCTCTTTAAAATTTGTCAGATTGATATAAATTTTGGGATAATTTCAGAATTTTTAGGAAATGATCATATCGACCGCCTTGGTGGTTAGTGGTCGCGGGTTAGCGCCTTAGTGGTTAGCGGTCGAGGGGTAGGGGGAACTTCGACCCCCTCCCTACCTTACGCCAACATTTCTGTTTCTTATAGTTATTAACACCAGAAGATAGGGGAGAAGAGTGTTCCAGAGCTTGACCTATATAGGGTTCTTGTGCACCATCTCCCCTATCTTTTGGTGTTAATAACTAAGAAACAGAAATGTCGGCGTAAGGTGGGGAGGGGGGTGAAGTTCCCCTTATCCCGCGACCGCTAACCACCAAGGCGGTGATCATTTCATGAAAATTCTAATATTATCCCAAACTTAAAATCAATCTGACAAATTTTGAGAAGAGTGTTCCAGAGCTTGACCTATATAGGGTTCTTGTGCACCATCTCCCCTATCTTTTGGTGTTAATAACTAAGAAACAGAAATGTCGGCGTAAGGTGGGGAGGGGGGTGAAGTTCCCCTTATCCCGCAACCGCTAACCACCAAGGCGGTGATCATTTCATGAAAATTCTGATATTATCCCAAACTTAAAATCAATCTGACAAATTTTGAGAAGAGTGTTCCAGAGCTTGACCTATATAGGATTCTTGTGCACCATCTCCCCTATCTTTTGGTGTTAATAACTAAGAAACAGAAATGTCGGCGTAAGGTGGGGAGGGGGGTGAAGTTCCCCTTATCCCGCGACCGCTAACCACCAAGGCGGTGATCATTTCATGAAAATTCTGATATTATCCCAAACTTAAAATCAATCTGACAAATTTTGAGAAGAGTGTTCCAGAGCTTTACCTAAGGTTCTTGTGCACCATCTCCCCTATCTTCTGGTGTTAATAACTAAGAAACAGAAATGTCGGTGTAAGGTGGGAAGCGGGTGAAGTTCCCCTTAAGTTAGCCTTGAAGTTAGCGACCGCTTACCACCAAGGCGGTGATCACTAAGGCAACAGCGCTATCATTAATAACATGAATATAAACGAATGAATGAATCCTCGCGCGCACTTTTCGCAGTCTATTGTATATATATCAATGGATTTCTGAAAGTTCGTTGACCTCTTAGTGGTCGAGAAAGCAGCGGTCGCCAAAGTTGGCTCAGTATATACCGGGTACTTTCAATTATGTAAACGTACACATTACGCTGCACACTTCTATACACATTAGCATGCACATTACTAACACATCTTCATACTCGAATGTGACACCAAATAATCATTAATTTCCACCAATTCATTATCATACACTTTATAACATCTTATCCAAGCTTTACTCACTTCTTTTGCGGAAATTGCTAGCGACTCTGAAATACCGTTGCCATTTTCCTAAACCTGGAATTCTGGCCTCTAAATAAGCATCTGAAATGATATGTCAGATCACATCCGTGGAAAAATGTGCTCTGCATGAACGTACACTTACATGTTGTTGTTGTTGTTGTTGTAGGTTTAATGGCGTTCATTCATTATTTAATATATACGCCATGGATCTATCTTTAATTTTATAATGAAAATCAGTTATAAATAAGAAAACTGAGGATAAAGATTTGTAATGTTATAATTAATTAATCAGTATTAAACGCAATTTTTTTGGAGTCTCTGGATGGTTTGCAACTTCGTGTTTCTGCTTTTTTAAAGTTTAATCTGGTCAGCCCGGTTTCGATGGCATAGAATACTAGCTTTGCTCGATTTGAAACAGGCTTCTTGGCTACTCGGCGTGCGACACTTACATGACCCTGGAAGTAGGTCAGGGTCAATACGGTATCTTGCAAAAATCTTGGAAAAAACAAATAATTTTCATGTTTCGCTGAAACAATGTGTGTTAGTAATTTTTCCAATATTTGATTAATCTGGATTAAGCGATTATATAATAAAAATCATGATAAGTAAGATAATGAAAGCATTTAATGGACAATTAGTTGAAAAGAGTAGGATTTATTTAAAACAAATTAGTACTATAGTAGTGCATTATTTGCCAATTATTATACATTTATATATTGATATCCAATTTTTGAGGCCCTAGCTGTTTCTTCATCAGTGGCTGCTATAGGACATAATAGAGATCCATTCAACTGATGAAGTATATGGCCACTAACACATCTCTCTCAATTTAATGATTTGCATGATAATTCTCAATACAAATCTGCTGATCACTTATTTTAGATGAGGTAAATTATATTTCCTTTTTGTTTTGCTATCAAAATAATTGTAAAGGCAATATAAATTTTCATAAGAGAAAGGGATTTCGGTAAGGAAAAGGTAAACAATTTTGGTGTTAATGTCTGGGGAAAAACAAACATAGAGCAACAAACATCTTTTCACTTGCTGTATTGTGAAACACAGTAAGTTTCTATTTATCACCAGTCATCGAATTGGTGTCCATGGTCAGTACTTTAACCATAGGGCAAAATACGGATTATGTACAATCCATGAACATTCATGTAAGCCATGAGCAGCATTTTTTTTTTTAGAAACGTTAATTATGATATTTTAATTTTCTTATTAATTTTAAATCATAAAGAACTTTTTTGTCCATATACCTGATTGGTTAGTCGATTCTTTTGTTTCGATCTGTTTCTCTCAGATGGAGTCTAGTTGTCAGCGGATGTATCGATGGATATAGTCGTCTGATTACACACCTGTATGTTGCTGACAACAACAGAGCTAATACAACTCTTGGGTTTTTCCTACGTGGGACCACAACATTTGGTACTCCTCGTAGATTGAGATGTGACCATGGTGGGGAAAATCGCCTGGTAGCCCGTTTTATGATCATGAGAAGAGGGCGGAGGAGAGGGAGTGTTATAGCCGGTCGGTCAGTTCATAATCAGAGAATAGAAAGACTGTGGGTAGATGTTTTTTCCCGCTGCCTCCATGTTTACTATAATTTGTTCCATGTGATGGAGGATCATAATATATTGAATATAAGCAATGCAGTACACGAATTTGCTCTACGGTATGTTTTTTTAAATCGTATACAAACAAACTTAACTACTTTTGCTAACGCTTGGAATAGCCATAACATGGATTCCTTGCATGGTCGCACCCCACTTCAAACTTGGATTCTTAGCATGGTTAGAGACCAGCGCAGCAGGGATCCACAAAGCCAGGATACATTGCAACCACATGCCAACTTTCAACCCAACAGAAACTTCACCCATACATTTTCTTTTTCTTTACCCACATTATCAGTAGAAAATCTAAGTCAGCACAATATAACCCGTCTTCAGCAAACAATAAATCCCAACTCGCCCAGTAATTCCCGTGGTGTAGACATATATGCAGAAGTGGTAGCCTTTATCCAAAACTGTCTTCAGTAGAAATGTACATTTTCATCTGACAATATTCTATTTTAATGATAAGTTCGTTCGTTCGTGTCTCCTTGGATCAAGATAGTTATGTAAAGTTCCTTAATTAAATAAAAGAGAGCTATACAACATAAAGACTTTAGTATTTACAATTTCATCAATTTAGACTCGATTTCAACCGCGACAACGATCATTGAATATTGTAAAATCGCATATGATTCCAATATGTTCATTTGAACCAAATTCAGGACCCCATGCTTTGTATTACCTTTGATATTTTATGTTATAATACAGTCCATTTTTAAAATAAAGCTTTGTATTAATTTTAATATTTGATGTTATAATACAGTCCATTTTTTAGAATAAAGCTTTGTATTAACTTTAATATTTGATGTTATAATACAGTCCATTTTTTTAGAATAAAGCTTTGTATTAACTTTAATATTTGATGTTATAATACAGTCCATTTTTAGAATTCGAAGTGCACTGCAAATTCGTATTTAAGTACATCATCTAGCCATTGAAATATGATTATTTTATCGTATTTGCGTTTTGGAGGGTTTAAGAGTTAACCGAAAGATTGTGTTGTACGTCTCTCATTTTTAGACGGTTCGGCATATCTTTCTCTTTTTTGTTATTGAGTAACTGTCTTATAGGTGTCGATTTTCTTGTCGATTCGTATCAAGAACATGTATAATATAATACATTTTGTAATTCTACATTAATTTTATTTCATACCATATTTATGAATTGATTTTGTTTATGACTGACAGAAGAATCTTTGGAATTAGAAATTGAATTTGAATAAAATGCTGGATTACATGACTCACTTTATGCAAATATCTTTTAACGCAACATTACTTTGTTCCTTTGTTTCTAAACACCTTGAACTCGTGAACCCGCTTGACTCCTCGCAGTCCGTGTCACGAGTTTAACCATCACACATCTCTTCTTCGCCTCCTGTTTTACAGGCAATTTATCATATTTTGTATTATACTTATTTCTAAGTAAATCATTATTATCATGTTATATAACTTTGTGCGGTTTTTCTGATTATGATTGGATATGTTCTGATGTTCGCATTTGTAGATATCATTGTTTTAAGAGAAGAACATTGAGCTTTTCTCGCAACGATTTGTGAAGCGTTATAATAATATGGGTGAATGGTACACGCGAGGATATATATATTTCACATTGTTTAAAAATATTAGCTTTCTTACTTAAAGATATGAGCTAATGAATATTTTCTCGTTTATGGACCACTATTGTGATTCTAGTTAGCATTTGACATATTCTTGTTGGGGAAATATTATTACGACTTTCCATGTTCGATTTGATAACGTTTTGAGAGACTCCATCTCAGTGAGGAGATAACCTTCGATTTGACAATGAACCGGACATTTACTGCTAGTGTATGAGTCCGTACTTTCTTATAATATGTATCGAGTTATTATGTCGTTTATTTTGTTTGGGATCTTACAATACCATGTCAAGATAATAATCATGTTAATATGTGTTCCGATAAACCAGGGATTGGTGTGGAATTGGCGTACAACTTTATAATCATTTATCTATGATACATTTGTGTCTGCGTGATTAGACTATTTACATTCACACGGTGTACACATTGTACGATTTTTAAGACTGAAAGAAAGTTCAAGTCAATGATATCATGAGACAGTATTTCAAACAAGATGTCAGCAAATCGTAAGCAAATCGTGTAGAAATTATGTATCTTCATAAGGCGAACAATGAATCTTTCTCAACTTTATATCTTTATATTGTAATTGTTGATCTGTAATTCAAATATGTTTGGTTGTTCATTTAGATTTAGAGAATAGAAGTATAATAAAATACAACAGAAATTACTTGGAGATCAAGTAAATAATTTTGTTTAATCTTATTGTGTATGTTGTAACTGGACTACATGTATTTATTTAACGGTTTGATTAAATATTCTAAACCCATGAGTGCTAACGTATCCGGTCTACTACCCCCTTTGATGTCTACCCTCATGACATTTACCCCTTAGGACAACTACCCTCGTGATAATTACCCCCGAGACGATGACCCCCTCCCCGGCCCGACCTAATGATGTACTATTTTAAAAAACTAAAAATTGCGAAATAGTAAGCTACAAGTATTTTTCCAACCTCAACTTCTCAGTCGGTGTTGTCATCTATTGGCCTAGTATCCATTGTACAGTATTTGTTTCCTGGTCCTTGTAATAACCACATATTCGTGTATTTATATATTTATTATCGTTATTATTGAGTAGCATTATTCTTTTATTTCCTTTTTAAAAGGGGGACAGTTGTCATTGGGCGGTAAATTGACATCAAGCACGTAGCCAGAGTTTGATGTTTGGGGGGGGGGGGGGGGGCACATACATGTAATCGATCGACGTCAAAAAGAAAGGGGTCTAAAAAAAGTTCAACCGATCCTGGAAATTTTGGGGGGCATATGCCCCCCTCCCCCCCCCCCGTGCCTACGTGTCTGATTGTCATGGTGGGGGGGGGGGTGTGAATGTACATGATGTTATCCTGTCCCGTTGACTATCCCCTGATAATCAATTAAATTCGGGCAATAGACAATAGCCCCATACGCCCTTGAATCTTAACTTAACACTTGTGACTATGTGCTGAAAAAGAGCGGACAATATAAAAGAAAAGGACAAGTAAAGAATTATGTTTGGCTAAAATTCGTCGCTGTTTTCACGAAGTGACGGTAGTGAAAAAAAATTGCATTCACTTTGCGTTACGATTTTCCTCACTACCGTCACTTCGTGAAAACAAGGACGAATTTAAGTATATTTGGTATCAAAAAGTTTAAAACAAAACGTTTGTTTCAATAAGTAATGAACATTGAAGTTAAGAGAAGATGTTCTTTAAAGCACTCTGACTATAATATCTGACAAAAATCGTACATAACAACGATGGCAACACATAAAGATACATGATTTCGTTGTCTAAACAGGTAAAAAAAAAAAATTGTAATTATAATTGAATATAAATACCAAACATAGCACATTGGTTGGCTATCGACCTGCCACCACGTTCCATTTAAGGCCCTCTAGAGGCTGGGAGCCCCAAATTCGCCAACAATTTTGATGATAAATTTTCACATCATTTTTATAATGCAGAAAAATATTGCCATTGAAATTTGTGGGGGCTCCCAACACTTTAGAGATACTTTAAGAGAAAGATGAGCAAAAAGATGCAACAATATTCAATAGTGCAATTAATTCGACAACATTAACAACAACCAAATAATGTTCATTATTATAACATCTTTTACCAATGAAACATGCATCAACAAGTTGAGATCACTCAGAATGTTCCGTGTACGGATGAAGCCTGAAGGAAATAATTATTTTTTCTTCAAATTATTAAAACGAATTTATGCCCTACTGACTATGTAACAAGGCTGCAAATACAAATATGATTTTATAACATTCCACTAAACCTAGCATTATATACAAACAAAATAATTTGATGTTTAACAGAACAAACAATCATGTGTAAATTGACGGGGGCGGGGTTGCTACAACCCCGCCCCCCCCCACCCTCCCCAGGCCATCCGCCATGACATTCAAACAGCGATAATTTTTTTCAAAATAAAAATACGTATCGATGGAATAAATTATATGTTAGAATTACACATTTTATAGCTATACAATATCAGATTCTGATACCCCTTGCTAAAGTTTGATATGCCTCTGTTATTCAATATTCTTAAAGTACGTGACAACGTCAAATGAAAATGACAATCCGATTATAAATCTCATTATACACAAACCTAGAATTATATACAATTTGATGTTGAACAGAACAAACAATCATGTGTAATTTTAACTAAGTTGGGGCTCCCAACACTTTAGAGACTTTAAGAGAAAGATGGCCAAAAGTATGCAACATTATTCAATAGTGCAATTACTTCGACAACATTAACAACAACCAAATAATGTTCATCACAGCTTTTACCAATGAAACATACATCAACAAGTTGAGATCACTCAGAATGTTCCGTGTACGGATGAAGCCTGAAGGAAATAATTATTTTTTCTTCAAATTATTAAAACGAATTTATGCCCTACTGACTATGTAACAAGGCTGCAAATACAAATATGATTTTATAACATTCCACTAAACCTAGCATTATATACAAACAAAATAATTTGATGTTTAACAGAACAAACAATCATGTGTAAATTGACGGGGGCGGGGTTGCTACAACCCCGCCCCCCCCCCCCCACCCTCCCCAGGCCATCCGCCATGACATTCAAACAGCGATAATTTTTTTCAAAATAAAAATACGTATCGATGGAATAAATTATATGTTAGAATTACACATTTTATAGCTATACAATATCAGATTCTGATACCCCTTGCTAAAGTTTGATATGCCTCTGTTATTCAATATTCTTAAAGTACGTGACAACGTCAAATGAAAATGACAATCCGATTATAAATCTCATTATACACAAACCTAGAATTATATACAATTTGATGTTGAACAGAACAAACAATCATGTGTAATTTTAACTAAGTTGGGGCTCCCAACACTTTAGAGACTTTAAGAGAAAGATGGCCAAAAGTATGCAACATTATTCAATAGTGCAATTACTTCGACAACATTAACAACAACCAAATAATGTTCATCACAGCTTTTACCAATGAAACATACATCAACAAGTTGAGATCACTCAGAATGTTCCGTGTACGGATGAAGCCTGAAGGAAATAATTATTTTTTCTTCAAATTATTAAAACGAATTTATGCCCTACTGACTATGTAACAAGGCTGCAAATACAAATATGATTTTATAACATTCCAATAAACCTAGCATTATATACAAACAAAATAATTTGATGTTTAACAGAACAAACAATCATGTGTAAGTTGACGGGGGCGGGGTTGCTACAACCCCGCCCCCCCCCCCACCCTCCCCAGGCCATCCGCCATGACATTCAAACAGCGAGAATTTTTTTCAAAATAAAAATACGTATCGATGGAATAAATTATATGTTAGAATTACACATTTTATAGCTATACAATATCAGATTCTGATACCCCTTGCTAAAGTTTGATATGCCTCTGTTATTCAATATTCTTAAAGTACGTGACAACGTCAAATGAAAATGACAATCCGATTATAAATCTCATTATTAAAAAACGACAATATCAATAATAATATAGTAGTAATAATAATAAAGATGAAATAATAATCGATCTTAATAATCAAAGGAATAGCGATAATGATAATAATGATGATAATAATAATGATATTAATAATAAGATTCATACTAATAGTAATAACTATAATAATAATAATAATAGTGATATTTGGGTCACTGTTATCATAGAAAGCACAGATTTTTGTTAAAGACTCTGAAATCTAGGTGAAATACATAAAATATGTTGTCTATATACCTGATTTCTACTTGCTGTATTCGGTAGCTTTCTATAGTTAGATAACGTGTAGTTAAGATAAATACATCAAATATAAGCTCATCAGCATAAGTTTGTTTTGTTATAAACTAACATATCGAAATTCCTGGTCTTATTGACCTCCGCCTCACCCCCCCCCCCAAATGTTCAGTTCAAGAGGTGATAAACTTGTCTCATGTATAACATCTGGAAATAGAGATTTTCTCTCATGCCCCCCACCATCCTAGGATATGGTGGAGATACGTTGACGACACCTTTGTTATCATTGATTATGACCATATTGACGAATTCACTAATATAACTACATCAGTTGCATCGACCAACATAAACATTTCTCTGTTGAGGAAGAGGTTCAAAGGTCACTGAACTTCTTGGACACAAAGGTCTTTGTGAATGATGACCTTTCAGTATCCATCACTGTGCACAGAGGAAACCAACCCACACCGATTCGTATTTGAACTTTGAATCAGATCACCCCCTCAGCACAAAAAGGTAGGAGATAATCATTGTATCTCAGAGCTTATAGAGTAACCTCGGACAATAATGCACTATAGAGTGAATTCCAATATATTGACAAGGCGCCCTGTCACAGGGATACCCAGCATGGATGAAACAAAGAGCGAAGGACAGAATGTGAACTATTTAAGGTTGGTAGAGTCTTTGAACATGACAATATATGATTATCCCCAACCGATGAAAGTCTTCTGTATCATTAATCTTATGTACTTTCACGTCTTTGTATCATATTTCAATTTAGTCGAGTTTGATTTCCTGAAAACAAGACATTTGCGTTTTACAAATTGAATGGCCAAATATTACATAAACCATGACGTGAATAGAGGACGTTATTTAACACAAAACAAATGTTTTTGAAGACGCATAATAATGATGAAAGAATACAACATTTTTTTCGGTGATGTACACAGAATACCCATATTGTGTAATCTTTCATGAATATTTGTCTTCAAACATAATTATTATTATTTAGATGTGTGTAATGACGTCAGTTTTTCTCGTCATTATACAATTCATGTAATATTTTGGCATGAACGTTTTTGGGATCTCAACAATTGAGAGGGGCTTTAATCGTACACACCAAATCGTGTATTCAAACTGTGTCAAATGTATTCCACAAGTGAGGATTGCTGAGTACATTTAATAAAAATGTTTCCAATGATTCAAAACTCATGATATAACGAGAAAAGGTAATTTGGCGCCCACATGTTGCCACATGCAACATGTTGATTTCATTCTGTGTACCATTAAAAGTAACTTTTATGAATCCATTTAAAATATTACTGGAAGTGATGAAACGTAACAGAATGGCTAATTGAAGTGCTGTTAGTGTAAAAAGAAATTGATGGAACCAATCTACAACTTGAGTTTCCAGTGCATGTTGGATCGGGTCTTCGCTTAAATCTACCTGAAGTCTGGAAATTATAAGTTCTGCTGTAGGGGTATACGAATTTAGAAGGGAAAATACATTTTCATCTGATGGAGGAGGGGACCATAATGTAGGATGTGCCGAGGTCATACCTTCTCTCATATAATGTAGGGCAAAAAAGTTGCCTTCGATGAGGGAATCTCTAGCTATGGATGTTATAATTGATCTGATATTATTGGGTCGTGGAATGGAAGTAGCTCCGAAGTGGCATGTAATAGCTGATAGCCTGGTCATTAATGTTTCGGGGAATTCAGTAAGTGACGGGTTAGTGCTGATGGCTGTCGTTAAAGTGAGCTCATCCCTCTCGGCCAAAGTAGACAAAAAACTATTTATTAATACTCTTGGGGCAGGCTGCCTTCCGGTTAAAAGAAAATATAACGATGCCTCATTAATTGCCAAAGGAATGTAATTAACAACAATAAAACCATGGCTGAAAATCATACCAATAAGACGCCACGTTTGAAATGGTGGGTTCATATCATATGGACCCACACGTGGGTACAGGATTCTTCTACCGAAGAAATATGCATCCAGGCATGCCTCCCAGAATGAGGTGAAAAATTCTCGGCTGAGGCCTTGAAAGTCCTCCCCCGCCTCCCCATTAAAAGAAATATGTAGCATGTGAAGGTGGAGATCGCGCTGGCTGTACCACTCCAGCGCGTTCATCAAAATATTAGCACGTGAAATCATAACATCCTGAAATTGAAGCGATAAAATAGAACGAATACGAAGAAGTCTTGTTTCCAAATCTGTTGAGATACAAAGTCAAAAATAAAATGCCATTAATTGCATTGACCATGATAGCTCGAAATTCTTTTTTTAAACATAATTATGAACACTTTGAATTGTTTCAATCTTAAGAAACTAGACTAGTCCCCCTCATAACCTTTTCATACCCAATTTTTGGTGGTAATATAAGGCCTCTTCTTTACACCACGTAAACAGGCGCGGATCCAGGATTTTCCAATAGGGGGGGCCGGAGGTTTGAAAATTGCGCCGACCGTTTTTTTCAAGGTCATATTAGAAGCACCATACCATTACAATTTTTGACATTTTCATCGGGGGGGGGGGTCGGGCTATAGCCTCTTATCCGAAAAAGTAACTTTCTGGTTTCACAATTCGGCTAGTGAGCGAAGCGAGCGAGCAACAATTTGAGCAAAATATGTATTTTGTGAAAGTGTTATTTATAACCAAAATAAACGAGAAAAGATGTCAAAAAATCATATGCGGGTAGCTCGCTAACCCCCCTCCCCCCCCCCCCAATGACGCCCGAAGCGCGGAAGCTTTGACCTTTCATTAATTATTAGAGAAAGAAGACGATTTTGTTGTACCATTCTCGACTCTTAATCCTTCTCTGAATTCAGTTTTCCCCCTCCCGCGCAAAGCGCGGAAGCTTTGACATGTTATAGTTTAATGAAATTATTAGATAAAAATATGATTCGTTGTTCCATTCTCGACTCTTAATCCTTCTCTGAATTCAGTTTACCCCCTCCCGCGCAAAGCGCAGAAGCTTAACGTTTCATTAAATTATTAGAGAAAGAAGACGATTTGTTGTACCATTCTCGACTCTTATTACTTGACTGAATTCACCCCCCCCCCTCCCGCGCGAAGCACGGAAGCTTTGGCCTTTCATAGTTTAATGAAATTATTAGAGAAAGAAGATGATTCGTTTTACCATTCTCGACTCCCAATCCTTGTCTGAATTCAGTTGCCCCCCTCCCGAGCGATGCGCGGAAGCTTTGACATTTTATTTAATTATTGGAGAAAGAAGACGATTCGTTGTACCGTTCTATATTACACCTACCATGGATAAATCACGGCCGGGAGCGTCATAATTTTGTGTTATCGGGCGAGGGCCGGGGCCGGGGCGTAGCGACCAAACGAGATTTTGCAATGTTGAATGCTGAAATTATGCATTCTAAAAAATCCCTAAGTCCGATATGTACGTTCTTTCCGCTATATTTATTTCTAACTATATTTTTAAATTTCCTGGGAGACTTGTCCCCATATCGGGCCCAGGATCGCCGCCCCTGTCCATGATTACTACCAACATGAGTTCTAATACAATCACAAGCGAGTCGATACGAGCTGAATCCAAATGAAGGGCAAAATAAGAGTTGTCAAGCGGCCCTACCGTTAATTTAAAATTTGACTGTTGAGTATATAACTTCTATTTAAAAGACATCCAAAATATTGTGCCCTTTTCAAATTTCTCACTAAAGAGTGATGACCGCAGGGGCTGTTCTTAACGTTTAACTTTGAATCCGCGGCTCGAGATTTTATGCGGCCGGCCCGCCCCCCCCCCCCCCCCTATTCAATAACGTTTGCCAAAGAGCCTTCTGGAATGTCCCCTAATCTCCCGATTACAGTTTTCCCATATTTGTCGTTACTGTCACTTAGCGCCATTTCCTTGCCTTTCCCCCTTTCTCACCGACTTTTCTTTTCCCCACCCCCCCCCTCACCCTCTCAGTGTTATCTAGGGTTCGCACATGTATGTTCCCTTTCTTTGAAAGCACCCCTCTGTCTCCGGTTTGTAAAGTCAGTACGGGCCGGATTTTTGTGTATTGCGGGCCGGACTTTGTTTCGTGAAAAGTAACTCTTTATCGGAAATTTAGGGAACACAAATTCGGTCCCTCCGACCCCGGAGTTGGAGGGAGGGGGGGGGGGGGGGAGGGCTTTTTATTTATCTTTTCTCTTCTATTTTTTTTCTCTTCTTTTTTTCTCCTCTTCTCCTTTCTTTTTTTCTCTTCTTTTCTTCCTCTTTTTGCGCCGCCAATAGGGGAGGCCGCGGCCGTTTCGGCCCCCCCCCCCTGGATCCGCCACTGCGTAAAGTCTCGGACTATATGCATCTCTTGGCCCACCTCTTTTTTCGGAGGCGGGCTAACACCGCAATGGTCCGGGACTCTTCTGGCCCTGGTCAATTGTGGGTTAGCCGAATACCCCCGCAATTGCGTTGCTAAGCGGAGAGGTATGCAAGTAAAAAAGCAAGGAAAGCAATGAAAAATAAAAGGTTATTAGTATTCTTATTATCATTATTATTAGAAGAAGATATTGTTCATGTTTTTATTTTTTTCTGAACAAGAGCGGTGGAGTTGACCAGAGAAGGGAGAATGGAATCCCAAAATCCGCTTGTTTGTGACGTCACAACCGTAAAGTCACTATTCTTTCTTCATATAAATGTGCACAGTAAATTTTAGAGGGCTCTGCGTAGATTATTGATCCTTGTTGAGAACTTGACTTAATTTGGTATCCGATGATTGCAATCGTTAACTTAAACTGAGTAGGAATATCACATTTGTACATTCGAACGAAAATAATGAAAGTTTATTAAAATTGACGAAAACAAAATCGACCCACTCAAGACTCCGAAAACCATCGATTTTCAGTGACGTCAAGGTGAGAACGATAGGCCGCTCGCGACTTTTTAAAACATTGAACAGCCATCCTCCTAGCGCTTCATTTGATTGGCTCAAAAGAAACCTTCACGTCGTGCGCTAGCCATAAATATTCATAATACGCACGCTCACAGAATCTGATGCGATAATTTATCATATAATAACAGCTGATCCGATTTACAATTAACGGTGCGCGATGTAGTTAATTAATTGTGTGCAAATCTCATGTACAGTATTGCATTGTGTACCGTACCCATTCAATACCCGACGTAGTTTACCCTCATCAAAATCGCATGGAAATATCGGACGAAGACATAATTATACTTGATTTGAGTTTTGAGAAGATAGAAGAAGGAAGTAACTGGGACAGTGACAACGACAATTGATATTTGGGAGATCTTGACCTAGAACTTAGAAGTAGGACTAGAGTAGAAAATTTTGCCGATGTCGATGGACAAGCTAAAGCTGTCGGAGCAGCCACAATCGATTGAAATGAGCCTGAGACGAAACGCTGCGACCAAGGATTCAATGAGGAGCGAAGATCTGGCTAGACTTTAACCAACAAAACAGCAGATTGGTAAGTTTATCATTTGGAAGAGAGAAGAAAAAAATATCAACTTTCACAAAGTAAATTGTGCATATCATCCCAGAAGGAAAAAAATAGTTGCAACTGGTCCAGTTGAACTAATAAAAGCCAACTGGTAACCCTGGAAATTGAAATGGGCCAGTTGACCAAGACCAGTTGAATTCTAACAGGACAAAACACATGAAATAGATTAACACATTTATTAAGCAGAAACGGATAGGTAATTGAAAATACAAATTTTGATGATGGTGATTTTGAAGGCAGATGGGGATGATGGTGATGATGAAGATGATGATGATGATGATGATAATGATGATGATGATGACGATGATAATGATTCGAATGAAAGAAATGATGACATATATGATAAAGACTGAAGAGTTGACACTGAAATTTTACCTTGAATATTCTGATAATAACATCGTTTTAACTTTGGCCTTAAATGAGTAGAGCAACATGATTTAATAGATTCTTGGAGAGAGTTCCAAAGGTCAGGACCTTGGTGTCTTATGGATCTATGGGCAATAAGTTATTTCGGGTTTACTAGATGAAAATTACATGAAAATTAGAGGAATTACGGGTAGGGTAAGAGTGAATTGCTTTATTCATAGTGTAGCAGTTTTGAATTGAAAGAGGGAGCATATTATTTAAATACTTAAACATGATCAGTAAACTGTGTAGCGAATTATGTCGAATACTGTAAGGGTTTTCAGTTTGTAAAATATTGGACTTGTGTGAAAAATGAGTTGGGTTAAAAACCTTCTTGATGAAAATTTTGATGCTCCTTGGAAGAACATTGAACTATCATTTTTGAAGAAATTTAATCAAGATGTTTCCCTTTTGTGGAAATGCAATGCACCAGAGTGTGTTTTGAACTCTCTGGGTAATGTCCAGTTGGCTGATTCATTGCGTTCATGGTATCCATACAGTGAAGAAGCCACCAAGTAATTTTATGGTCATAAATTCTCAGAATTAATTGCTTGTCAACCATTACGGTACAATAAATTAATCCGTTTAAAATCCAAATCTTTTTTTACTATGAATCTTGGTTTGATAAGAATATTCTTACAATATCAGATTTGGTTAATCCTACTTTCCCTGGGCATAAACTTTTTGAAGAACTGGTACTAGATTTTGGTATTTCTTCTTTAGATAGAAGAAAATTTAATATTTTGATAAAGAATATTCCAGAGGACTGGATGGTGGATTTTGATGTTGACAATGTTGGTGTTTGTGATATTATAGTACCCAGGGGGGCAAAGCAGGTTCTTGAGACATGGAATGTTGTAAAAGGATGTTGGGTATTAAAGTGTTCGGGGGACGTCCCTGCACAATTTCTAGGTGGACAACCTTTGCAATATGCTACTGGAAAAAAATGGCGGCCATTTTTCAAAATGGCTGCCATGTATAATTACCTTTGTACAATTCTGGGGATTAATTTTTAATAGCACCTCATGTTATCATGTGTTAGATGTCATATGAAAGACAATTAAATTTCCTACAAAATGATACCTCATTCAATAAGTTTCGGGATGATTTGCATACCAATTTTGAGCCAAAAATGGCAAATTTTTTTTTAAAACCATTTTTTACAAAAATATGAATTGCGCCAAAATACATATTTTTCCATATTTATTTGATTATGATGCTAACTGACTTGAAACTTGCTGAAAAAGTGTTTAGTAGCCTGGTTGATAAAATATACAAATTTCAAGTCTATTACTTTTCTAACTAAAAAGTTGTAGCGCTCTAAAGTTGACACTTTGTTATGAGTCAAAATGGCAAATTTGGTTGCTAAGGGCTATCTTCTCCTTAGCAACGGTAACATAGTGGCGTGAAAAATAGTATATATCACGAGAAATTGCTATCACCAAGCAGATGACTACTTTGATAGGAAGTATGATGTCAAATGATGCATTTTCATCATATTTTAATGATAAACATCGCTTATTTCCCGTGACTATGGTAATAATATGCCTAGCAACCGATATATAACATGTTTTCAGAGTCAAATTAGGATATGGGTCAAATAATACGTAAAATCAGACCTGTTCCAGAATGTGCACCCTTTCCACCTTCTGTGACCCTCCCCCCCCCCCTTTCCTTTTTCCGCTTTGTTTTTAATTTGATCTTAATACAGTGATCTTGTTATTTAATATTTTGTCTTTTGTACTCCCATGTCTACTTCTGTACATATTCCTGTACCCCTTTACAGAGATACAAGTATTTATTGTTACACCGACCTATTTTTTTTCTTTTCCCCTTTTACAATGCTGTTAGTTATTACCATAGTCATATATTTTTACATTACATGTGTGCATATAACATTTGTTTACAAATCACATTGCCACCGTATAACATGAGCGATAACCTCGATTGGAATTGGGTCAGTTTACGCGTGTTTCCTTATTGCCTATTCAGGAATGCGTTGTATTTTTATCACTTCAGTTGATTTCCCCACGCTCTGTCTGCGCAATTCGCCGACTGGGTGTCTGGAGTGGGCGGGGTCGGGGAGTGAGGCGATCTGTCTTACCCGCATGCTGCGTGTGGATTGTGTGTGTTGGGAGGGGGGGGGGGGGGGGGGGGGTTGTGTGTTTTAGTGTTAGTGTGAGAGTGTTGAGGGGTGTGTGTGTGTGGGGGGGGGGGGGGGTAGAGCGGATTGTCTCATTCCTCGACTTTGCTCCTCCAACCTGTTGATGGCTGTGTGGAGTTTCCATTTTACCCGTGGATGGATTATCTTACTCCTCTTTTTCTTCATTTTGGGCCCAACGAAATACCGAAGCTGTGACGTCATAAAAATCTATTAGGAGCCAGAGCATATAACACTGAGTTCCTATAGGACATACATTTATTTAGATGGTCATATCTCAGCCAATACTTAACATATTCAATTGGTTTTTCGACATTTGGACATTATTTTGGATGCTCTTTCGGAAAATGAAGAAAAATTGAAAAAAATTCTAAAAATAGATTTTTGATGACGTCACACTTCACCACTCTTTCCTATCTCGAGGTATTTGCATTTGTACTTGTAATTGTTATAATTCTAACTATTTCCATTACGTGTACTCTGCCTTTTTTCCCCCCAGATCATCTCAATCGTTTTTAAATATCTTATTTGTCATTATTATTATTATTATTATTATTTTTTTGTAACACAACATTTGTATTTCCTTCGAAAGTTTGTATATGTTATGATTTGATTTCTTAATAAACACATAATTAAAAAAAAAAAAAAATTGGGTAATGATACTGGGCAAATTAAGTTGTGCCATTTTTCCCCCAACATTTGGGTTATTTTCTCCCATCCTTTTACTACATATATTGTTACCCAATTAAATGTTCAAAATTAGTTGGGCAGATGTTACTGGGCAAACGCAAGTCGGGCAACAATTATGGAACATAATTGTGTCATGATCTCATAATAGACGTGTCGTGGTCTAGTGGATATGTCACAGGACTATGACTCACAACGTCCGCGGTTCGACTCCCGCCGCGGCGCTAATGTCTAATATGCTACACATTACGGTGAGAATTAGGTGAATTTCTGATTGGGTAAATTTTTGTTGGTTAAAAGTTGGGTGCAAAATATTTTTGCACAATATTTTTTAGAGTGGATGAAGGGTTTTCTTTTGCAATAATAAATAGAGTTGATTTTGGTTTTGGCGCTGGTGGGCCATACTAAATTGCAATATGTTATATGCGGTAATATCAATGAATTATAATGCATAACCAGACCAGTTATCAACTGGTGTAACTGGTCATTAAGGATCGGTTCCATGCAGTTAAATTAAATGCAGTCGCACCACTACTAGTCTACTATTAAATAATAAATAACTAGCCTAGATCGACTAGAATCTTCAATTGGGTAATTTAACCGGAAATCATAACGTAAATATGATTGTGTAGGCCTATGAAACATTAAATAGTAGTACATTTGGTTAGGAGAAGTTGCCAGTTTGCTAATCTAATATTTTGACGCTAACTCGTATTGCGCAAAGATTCAATCGGTTTAATTTTGGCCATCACAAGAAGTGGGTCATTGATGTAGACAAATGCTCATGTACCCTTTACAGCTCAATGTATGTATGTTATTACCAGAGAAGAAAGAAAGAATGGTTAACTGCCAGTGTCAATAAATAATGAGGCATCAAAACATGCTCATCTGACCGTGATCAAATCCCTAAAACCCCTAGGGATTATTTTCGAGAACGGTACAACGAATCATCTTCTTTCTCTAAAAATGACATGAAACTTTAAAGTTTCCGCGCTTCGCGCAGGAGAGGGGGGGGGGGGTGAAGTTAGACAAGGATTAATAGTCGAGAACGGTACAACGAATCGTCTTCTTTCTCTAATGATTTAAAGAAACGTAAGAGCTTCCGCGCTTCGTGCGGGAGGGGGGGGGGAACTGAATTTAGACGAGGATTATTTTTGAGCACGGTACAACGAATCGACTTCTTTCTCTAATAATTCAATGAAACGTCAAAGTTTCCGCGCTTCGTGCAGGAGAGGGGGGGGGGGGAAATGAATTTAGACAAGGATTAAGAGTCGAGAACTGTACAACGAATCATCTTGTTTCTCTAATGATTAAATGAAACGTAAAAGCTTCCACGCTTTGCGCGGGAGGGGGGGGGGGAAACTAAATTCAGACGTGGATTATTTTCGAGAACGGTACAACGAATCTTCTTCTTTCTCTAATAATTTAATGAAACGCCAAAGCTTCCGCGTTTCGCGGAGGAGGGAGGGGGAAACTCGCCCCTCCCTGCACCCACCCCCTCCCCCCCGCATTACGTCACTGCTGGTCACCATTACGTACCAATATTTGGCTCGCATAATTTCAAATTTGCCCCCCCCCCCCCCCCCCCCGCTAAGAAATCCTGGATCCGCGCCTGGCCCAGTGCCATCATCTTCCTCATTGCTCATTATCGTCATCACAAATTGTGGGTTACTACAAACACAATGCTAATAATAATTTTGTACTGTTCTGTTTAAAGTTTATATCTACTTGTAAGGCCCTTTCAGATAAATTATTTACCAGTGACTCTTTGGCCGGGTGTTTCAAGTGATGGCAGGCTTATATGGGGATGGTGACCTTCAGGGTGGATATTACTCCCAGCAACAGAAACCTGGTATAAAGAACAGAAATATGTGAAGACAACAAACGTTAATGAATAAAACAAAGAAAATTTGTAAGGTGTTTAAGGATTTCAGAATTAATACAGTTTTATTATAATGAATCAGATTTAATTTATGTTTCGGGTACTGTAAGGACCAGATGGTTATCCATAAATGTACGAACCCGCCTGTTACGCTTATTGTAAAACTAAAGACTACTGCAGAAATATATTTTTATTATAAAGTGTGTTACTAAAAAGCAGCAACTAGATATTTTCTGCATTCTTAAAACTAACACTTTCTGAATATACATCTAATCCAACTGAACTATTCTAAGTTTATGCAGGAAATAAGTGTTTTATTTATACACAGCATTAAACATGGAAAAAAGTTTGTTCTTTTAAAAAATACATAAAGACATACCTACCTCTACATCACTGTCATCATCCTGGTTCAACATGATTGGATCCTGTGGTACAAACCATATTAAGATAACCACCACTGTATTAATGTCCCGTAAAACTTTTCTCATGAAAAAAAAAAATCAAATTTATATCATTATTTGGTATTCTCCTTTTTCTTTCTTTTCCTTTCTTTTTTACTTCATCATCATCTTCTTCTTCTTCTTCGCCTACTTCTACTTTTGAATTTTATATTCCTTATTATTATCATTTGTAGTAGTAATCGAAGTAGTAGTATAGTATAGGTCATTTTACTACTTCCACTTCTAAACTGCCAAAAGAAAACTTAACTACCTCAAATTAGCAATGAAATCCTTCTAGACACCTCAGATCATCATATTCATATTTAATGGTTGTACCACAAACTCGACTTTTTTTTTTGGGGGGGGGGGGGGATATAAAACTTTTTCACATGCCAGTCCATTACTTTGTAACAAACTGCCACAATCTATTCGTAATCTGTCAATGTATTTAAAACCGCACTAAAGACATACATGTACAATTGTTCAATGTCGCATACTGCTAAGTATTAAGTGTAGTGTATCTGTGATTTCATGTTAAAAGATTGTATTCATGTACATGTTTATGTGACTGTTTCTACTCTTATTTTCTACTGCGCCATGAGCCTCACTATTGTGCTGGATACCGGCGCAGTATAATGGTTCATATTATTATTATTATTAATATCTTACAAGAGAAAAAAAGATGAATGGCAATATTTTTCATTTACCATAATGAACTATTCAGAATCTATTACCCTAAGCTCTACTTTAACAATTGAAAAATAAATCGGTCCAGATATGAAGGGATAATAAGATGCAATTTTCCTCTGATTTTTTTCATTTGACAATTCTGTGTTCTAAAGTTTAGGATCCCACATCGGATCCTAAGTAATAAATAGTTTCTACCCCCGCGGTTTCTACACAAGGAATTTCATCAAACTTGGGGAGATTGTGTGAATGAGGACTACTCCCTTTAAATCGAAACGGGTGTCTATTTTCAATAATTATGGAAGACATTCAGGCAAATACCCATGATGATGCATTCTGCTATATCGAATATATATAATTTTGCTACTCACACGTGCGTCAACTTGTGGTAAATGCAGCACACCATCATCATTGGCCTGAGCGGGTCCCTGCAATCAAGATTTGAACAAAATATAATCAGGCTTTAAATTCGTTGTCTCTCTTTTCGTGATTGTAATTCCAACAGTCTTTCTGTCTGTTAATCATATTAAAATGCATAATTAATTCAGGCGTAACCCTTAAAAAAAAAAAAGACTCTTCAGATGTAGCTCTTATTTCCGGGCCTTTTTTGCACACCCTACCCAATTTCCAGGAAATCTCATCGATATAGGCTCTTTGGTATCGAAATGTTCAGCTACCAAACCAGTAGTTTGGAAATGAAGGATGGATACATCGATTTGATTTTCGTTGTTTTCATACACCGTTTCGACCACGCCCAATTACAAAGAAGATATATGAATTGTCTCGATCTTTAATGTCCAAAATACTTGTCAGTTTACTCTCGAATTTGAACGGGGTTATGTTTATGCCAAATTGTTTCTACCCCGCGGTTTCTACACAAGGAATTTCATCAAACTTGGGGAGATTGTGTGAATGAGGACTACTCCCTTTAAATCGAAACGGGTGTCTATTTTCAATAATTATGGAAGACATTCAGGCAAATACCCATGATGATGCATTCTGCTATATCGAATATATATAATTTTGCTACTCACACGTGCGTCAACTTGTGGTAAATGCAGCACACCATCATCATTGGCCTGAGCGGGTCCCTGCAATCAAGATTTGAACAAAATATAATCAGGCTTTAAATTCGTTGTCTCTCTTTTCGTGATTGTAATTCCAACAGTCTTTCTGTCTGTTAATCATATTCAAATGCATAATTAATTCAGGCGTAACCCTTAAAAAAAAAGACTTTTCAGATGTAGCTCTTATTTCCGGGCCTTTTTGGCACATCCTAACCCAATTTTTTGGAAATCTCATCGATAGAGGCTCTTTGGTATCGAAATGTTCAGCTACCAAACCAGTAGTTTGGAAATGAAGGATGGATATATCGATTTGATTTTCGTTGTTTTCATATACCGTTTCGACCACGCCCAATTACAAAAAAGATATATGAATTGTCTCGATCTTTAATGTCCAAAATACTTGTCAGTTTACTCTCGAATTTGAACGGGGTTATGTTTATGCCAAATTGTTTCTACCCCCGCGGTTTCTATACAAGGAATTTCATCAAACTTGGGGAGATTGTGTGAATGAGGACTACTCCCTTTAAATCGAAACGGGTGTCTATTTTCAATAATTATGGAAGACATTCAGGCAAATACCCATGATGATGCATTCTGCTATCGAATATATATAATTTTGCAACTCACACGTGCGTCAACTTGTGGTAAATGCAGCACACCATCATCATTGGCCTGAGCGGGTCCCTGCAATCAAGATTTGAACAAAATATAATCAGGCTTTAAATTCGTTGTCTCTCTTTTCGTGATTGTAATTCCAACAGTCTTTCTGTCTGTTAATCATATTAAAATGCATAATTAATTCAGGCGTAACCCTTAAAAAAAAAAAAGACTCTTCAGATGTAGCTTTTATTTCCGGGCCTTTTTGGCACACCCTACCCAATTTCCAGGAAATCTCATCGATATAGGCTCTTTGGTATCGAAATGTTCAGCTACCAAACCAGTAGTTTGGAAATGAAGGATGGATACATCGATTTGATTTTCGTTGTTTTCATACACCGTTTCGACCACGCCCAATTACAAAGAAGATATATGAATTGTCTCGATCTTTAATGTCCAAAATACTTGTCAGTTTACTCTCGAATTTGAACGGGGTTATGTTTATGCCAAATTGTTTCTACCCCCGCGGTTTCTACACAAGGAATTTCATCAAACTTGGGGAGAATGTGTGAATGAGGACTACTCCCTTTAAATCGAAACGGGTGTCTATTTTCAATAATTATGGAAGACATTCAGGCAAATACCCATGATGATGCATTCTGCTATCGAATATGTATAATTTTGCAACTCACACGTGCGTCAACTTGTGGTAAATGCAGCACACCATCATCATTGGCCTGAGCGGGTCCCTGCAATCAAGATTTGAACAAAATATAATCAGGCTTTAAATTCGTTGTCTCTCTTTTCGTGATTGTAATTCCAACAGTCTTTCTGTCTGTTAATCATGTTAAAATGCATAATTAATTCAGGCGTAACCCTTAAAAAAAAAAAAAGACTCTTCAGATGTAGCTCTTATTTCCGGGCCTTTTTTGCACACCCTACCCAATTTCCAGGAAATCTCATCGATATAGGCTCTTTGGTATCGAAATATTCAGCTACCAAACCAGTAGTTTGGAAATGAAGGATGGATATATCGATTTGATTTTCGTTGTTTTCATACACCGTTTCGACCACGCCCAATTACAAAGAAGATATATGAATTGTCTCGATCTTTAATGTCCAAAATACTTGTCAGTTTACTCTCGAATTTGAACGGGGTTATGTTTATGCCAAATTGTTTCTACCCCCGCGGTTTCTACACAAGGAATTTCATCAAACTTGGGGAGATTGTGTGAATGAGGACTACTCCCTTTAAATCGAAACGGGTGTTTTTTCAATAATTATGGAAGACATTCAGGCAAATACCCATGATGATGCATTCTGCTATATCGAATATATATAATTTTGCTACTCACACGTGCGTCAACTTGTGGTAAATGCAGCACACCATCATCATTGGCCTGAGCGGGTCCCTGCAATCAAGATTTGAACAAAATATAATCAGGCTTTAAATTCGTTGTCTCTCTTTTCGTGATTGAAATTCCAACAGTCTTTCTGTCTGTTAATCATATTCAAATGCATAATTAATTCAGGCGTAACCCTAAAAAAAAAAGACTTTTCAGATGTAGCTCTTATTTCCGGGCCTTTTTGGCACATCCTAACCCAATTTTTTGGAAATCTCATCGATAGAGGCTCTTTGGTATCGAAATGTTCAGCTACCAAACCAGTAGTTTGGAAATGAAGGATGGATATATCGATTTGATTTTCGTTGTTTTCATATACCGTTTCGACCACGCCCAATTACAAAAAAGATATATGAATTGTCTCGATCTTTAATGTCCAAAATACTTGTCAGTTTACTCTCGAATTTGAACGGGGTTATGTTTATGCCAAATTGTTTCTACCCCCGCGGTTTCTATACAAGGAATTTCATCAAACTTGGGGAGATTGTGTGAATGAGGACTACTCCCTTTAAATCGAAACGGGTGTCTATTTTCAATAATTATGGAAGACATTCAGGCAAATACCCATGATGATGCATTCTGCTATCGAATATATATAATTTTGCAACTCACACGTGCGTCAACTTGTGGTAAATGCAGCACACCATCATCATTGGCCTGAGCGGGTCCCTGCAATCAAGATTTGAACAAAATATAATCAGGCTTTAAATTCGTTGTCTCTCTTTTCGTGATTGTAATTCCAACAGTCTTTCTGTCTGTTAATCATATTAAAATGCATAATTAATTCAGGCGTAACCCTTAAAAAAAAAGACTTTTCAGATGTAGCTCTTATTTCCGGGCCTTTTTGGCACACCCTACCCAATTTCCAGGAAATCTCATCGATAGAGGCTCTTTGGTATCGAAATGTTCAGCTACCAAACCAGTAGTTTGGAAATGAAGGATGGATACATCGATTTGATTTTCGTTGTTTTCATATACCGTTTCGACCACGCCCAATTACAAAGAAGATATATGAATTGTCTCGATCTTTAATGTCCAAAATACTTGTCAGTTTACTCTCGAATTTGAACGGGGTTATGTTTATGCCAAATTGTTTCTACCCCCGCGGTTTCTATACAAGGAATTTCATCAAACTTGGGGAGATTGTGTGAATAAGGACTACTCCCTTTAAATCGAAACGGGTGTCTATTTTCAATAATTATGGAAGACATTCAGGCAAATACCCATGATGATGCATTCTGCTATCGAATATGTATAATTTTGCAACTCACACGTGCGTCAACTTGTGGTAAATGCAGCACACCATCATCATTGGCCTGAGCGGGTCCCTGCAATCAAGATTTGAACAAAATATAATCAGGCTTTAAATTCGTTGTCTCTCTTTTCGTGATTGTAATTCCAACAGTCTTTCTGTCTGTTAATCATATTAAAATGCATAATTAATTCAGGCGTAACCCTTAAAAAAAAAAAGACTCTTCAGATGTAGCTCTTATTTCCGGGCCTTTTTTGCACACCCTACCCAATTCCCAGGAAATCTCATCGATAGAGGCTCTTTGGTATCGAAATGTTCAGCTACCAAACCAGTAGTTTGGAAATGAAGGATTGATACATCGATTTGATTTTCGTTGTTTTCATACACCGTTTCGACCACGCCCAATTACAAAGAAGATATATGAATTGTCAGTCTCGATCTTTAATGTCCAAAATACTTGTCAGTTTACTCTCGAATTTGAACGGGGTTATGTTTATGCCAAATTGTTTCTACCCCCGCGGTTTCTACACAAGGAATTTCATCAAACTTGGGGAGAATGTGTGAATGAGGACTACTCCCTTTAAATCGAAACGGGTGTCTATTTTCAATAATTATGGAAGATATTCAGGCAAATACCCATGATGATGCATTCTGCTATCGAATATATATAATTTTGCAACTCACACGTGCGTCAACTTGTGGTAAATGCAGCACACCATCATCATTGGCCTGAGCGGGTCCCTGCAATCAAGATTTGAACAAAATATAATCAGGCTTTAAATTCGGTTTCTTTCTTTTGCAGTGATAGTGAAATTATAATGACCTTTACAGTGCGGATTGCCAAAATGTTGCGTTTCCAAATTTCAATGGAATGCATAACTTTTTAATAAATGAGCATGTACGTCTGTCTTTCCATGCTTATGTTTAGTCCATACTGGTCATTTTACTAAACAACGTTCTTTTTAAGCCAGAATTCGATAACCAGGATGTTTAACTGCAGGGTTGCTCAATGGTATATACTAAGAATAGAACATGTAATTCAAGATATTTGACGAAAACCTGGAAAATACTGGACATTAACAAAATCATAATTTGGGTAAATCTTCAGCCAAAAGCTGCTAACAAAATCAGAATGGCAACCATATGGAAATCCGATGAAAAGGTAAACAATTTCCACAGTTACAGCAATATTTTAGAATTAAAGAATACTTGAAGCTAACTTACTATTTCAGTATCAGGAATTATAATTAGGCGTCCTGAGAACCTTCTTCCAAGATGTCCATAAATGCTGCTTGGATCAGCAACATTTAGAGGAAGATTCTCAAGACGCCTATGCCTGCATACGGCCAGCGTATATTCCTGTGTCATAGTTGGGTACGTTGTTGAAATTAAGTTGCGGAACTCTTCAGGTGACATGTCCCGCCTTGCCCTGTCTATCCTCCTCTCCCCTATATACAATTACACATACAAGAGAAAATAACATTACTATTTAAGATTGCGTCGGTTGTAAAAAGAGTATCAGTGTTTTTTCAGGGAGGGGGGGGGGGGGGAGGTGTATTATTGAAAATGTTCCATTCAGACAATTTGAATTTGCTTACTATTATGTTGCATGTCAAATATCTCATAAGTGTTTCACTTATCACTATATATGATGAGGAAGCATCATTATTCCCATCCAATATTTTAGAAGAGAAGGGGAGGATGGCATGTACCAGCCTTATCCTAGCTCCTACCTCTTAGACTTCAATAACGATTATTACGTCTTTTGTTAGTCTAACAACCACAAGAAGGGTTAATATGTAATTAACAATTAGCGTCAACCGGTTAAAGACTTCCATTTATCATTCATGATATGCGATGAAAGAAATACATGAGGTGAAAGCTGAAGAGTTAATACCTCTTTGATCAAGAAAAATATGAATTTCTCTGTAGAGATGGAATACTATAATAAAACAGGTTATTAGTCACTGTGTGGAGAAACAATTGGATGTACTAGTTACCCAAGCCACGCGCATTTAAGGATGCAATCGTTGCCCTGTCAGGAAATGTCACTCTCCTATTTGACAGGGCAACGAATTGCATCCTAAAAGTCGGAGCAGGATGAGGACCGCGCCTGGCATTCCTGGGCGTCCTCATCCTCCTAGTTGGTGCAAAGAGACGCTCGACCTCTTCGTCGAGCCCCCCTGCCGATTGCAGTGCCTCGATACAATTCAGTACATTGGCGTCGAAATCGTCTTCGTCGTCTGCCTGGGCATGTGTAATCTGAAATTAACAAGAAATTGTGTGTAATAGAAAGTGCTTAAAAAACACAATTCGAATATATCTTTGTGTCTAAACAGACACTGATCAATGGAATATAATGAATGAAATTAATGTAAAAAGAAATATTAATAATTTGTCTCGTCTTTTGCAGTTGACCACCCCCATCCTCCCTAGCAATCAAATTGTAAGCAGCCTCATTGCCGCCACATATAACGTCACATAATTATGTGTACGTTTTTTGCGTTGTAGTCTCACGCATCTTTTGACACAGAAGTTTCAAATACAATGTATAAGGTCAATAACATTTGGTCGCCATTCATCAAGATCAGCATTCTGTATGTTTGTGTACCAATACATGGCTCATTAATTTTCCATAAAATGTTTTAAGGCACTTTCCATTTTTACTTCTTTACTTGTATAATTTGAAATTTGTCATAAATATTTTCAGAAAATACCAAAAAGTATATAAATTTTTATTTCTTTGTAAAACAGTGACATACAAAAGAAATTATATATACATTATGATGTATATATATATATATATATCTCTGTCATCTCCCTTTCCCATGCTCCTCCATTGCATGTTTACATCCTTTTTATGCCTCCGCCACCGAAGGTGGTGCCGGAGGCATCATGTTTTCGGGTTGTCCGTCCGTACGTCCGTACGTCCGTCCGTACGTCCGTCCGTCCGTCCGTACGTCCGTCCGTCCGTCCCGTTTGACCGTTATCACAATATCTCAAGAACCATTTAAGATTTAAACTTAAGACTCGGGAATAGTATTTATCACCATAGGAAGACGATCTGATTAGATTTTGGAGTACGTAGGTCAAAGGTCACAGGTCACAGAGGTCAACTTATGAAATTCCTTGTATTGAGTTTGTTAGCGCGATATCTCAAGAACCATTTGAGATTTAAACTTAAAACTTAAGGATAGTATGTATCACCATAGGAAGACGATCTGATTCGATTTTGGAGCACGTATGTCAAAGGTCAAGGGTCACAGAGGTCAACTTATGAAATTCCATACATTGAGATTGTTATCATGATATCTCAAGAACCACTGGAGATTTAAACTTCAAACTTAGTGATAGTGTGTATCACTATAGGAAAACAATCTGATTACATTTTGGAGCACGTAGGTCAAAGGTCAAAGGTCACAGGGCTCATTATGTATGCAAAAACAGCTTGTGATCGCGTTATCTGAACAACCGATTGATGGATTCCTGCCAAACTTTGGTCATGTATGTATCTTGCAGAGCTGATGAACTGATTAGATTTTGGGGTCACGAGGTCAAAGGTCACAGCGCACATTATGTATGCAAAAACAGCTCGTGATCGCGTTATCTGAACAACCGATTGATGGATTCCTGCCAAACTTTGGTCATGTATGTTACTTGCAGAGCTGATGAACTGATTAGATTTTGGGGTCATGAGGTAAAGGTCAAGGTCATGCGGCTCATTATGTATGCAAAAATAGCTTGTGATCGTATTATCATTAGAACAGATTGATGGATTCCTGCCAAACTTAGATCATTTATGTATCTTGCAGAGCCAATGAATGGTTCATAAGATCAAAGGTCATGGGCTCATTATGTATGCAAAAATAGCTTGTGGACGCATTCTCATTAGAACTGACAGATGGATTACTATTTAACTCAGGAAATCTTGCAGAGCCAATGAACTGAGTAGATTTTAGGGTCATGAGGTCAAAGATCAAAGGGTCATATATGTTTATGAGAAATTGCTTGTAATCACGATATTCTGAGAACATGTTAATGGATTACAATTGAACTTGAATTTGAAAAATTTCTTCCGTTTCGGTTTGTAAAATTGCTCTATGACGGAGGCATCATTTTCGACTGCGCGCAGTCGAATTCCATCTAGTTTGTATTCTAATTTGTTTCCTTTCTCGTTGCAATCCTATGTCGTATGAACTCTCCCCCCCCCTCTCTCTCTCTCTATTTCTGTGACTGTCTTCCTCTCTCTCTCTCTCTCTCTCTCTCTTTCTCGCTCTCTTTTCCCATCCTTTCCTTTGTATTTTTTTTTTAATTATTATTTATTTTCCGTCTCTTATGGTATGTTGTTGCAATCCTCTGTCGTATTTTCTCCTTCGCCCTTTCTCTATTCTCACTTTTCCTTTCACATCCCTTTATATTGTCTTTCAAAATTCTTAGTTGTATTATTTTTCCCCTTCTAGTAATGATATCCTCTGTTTCATAACGATTTCAGGGTAAATTACTGCCCCCCCCCCCCAAAAAAAAAGAAAAAGAAAAAGAAGAAAGAGTTAATTTTACCTTTAAACAAAAATAGATTAGACGGGGCCACTCCTCCCCCCTTTCAAAAGAATAAATAATGGTAACCACATTTTACAAGCGGGGGGGGGGGGGGGGGGTGTTGAGTAAAGAAAAAAAAAGAGTTGGACTCAGGAGGTCCGATTTGTATGTGAGGTTCAAAACAGCTTTACGTTTATCATTTCTCAGAAACTTGATTCTGGCTCGAGTAAAGGAGGGGGTAAACGACCGGCGACAGTTTTCGGCCAGTCCGTTGGATGCATGGTAAAATACATCGCATAATAGCACATCACATATCCCACACATACCATAACATGCCATAGTCACTGAAGAACCACATTTGCAATGGAAAATATATCCTTAAATATCACATTTTAGCGATGTAATCGGCGGTCCCGCTACCAGGATCTGAAAAATCGAGTATCTTACGCGTGTCTGTAAGGAATATGGGTACCATAACATCAGCTTTATTTCAAGTAATTTTCAGATTTAGAGCCCGATTTTGTGTTGGTCGCAAGCTCAAAAGTATCTCATCGCATGTATTAAATCAAGCAGCTAGCCGGACACCGCGCGCGCAGCGCACACACGATGTCTCTGTCATAGTTTTCGGCATGGCGAGCTCCGGGACGGCGTGGGATACCTGCTCCGCCCGCTAGTGCTATACAGCATGTCAGCGCGGAAACGCACGGCGCGCGCGCGCTTCCTATTGACTTTGTACATGCGACCGAAAACTGTCTCGCTATGCCGATAACCGTCTCCAAAACAGTGAAAATTGAAATGGATATTGTCGTGGCAATTCGTGATTTTTTTCTGGGATTCTTTTTTTGTTTAAATAACAATAATATTTGCTTCATGATTTGAACAAGAAATGATAATAAATAGGAAGTAAAGAGTAAAAAAAAATAGGATTTTGTCTTAAGTGGCCGAAAAAAACCCTTCTTTACTCTAGCCTAGGCCTAGATCTACTATTGTACTACTAGATCTACTGACCTAACGTTAGATCTAGACCCTATGTCACATCCAAAACGCTAATTTTTTGGCGTTTCAATAAAGGGTCTAGATCTAGATCTATCTAAAGACGTTTGAAAAGACTTTGCGTTTATCACCTTAAAAATTTGCCTGAAAGACGTTTGAAAACGCTGATTCTAGGCAAAAATGGACAATAAATGCACCCAGGCTAAGCCAAGGCTAAGACTTGTCTAGCCTTGGCCTACTGACTGCTGGTACTAGGCTACTAGACCCTCTACTGCTCTAGTCTCTACTTCACCGAGATCTAGCCATTTCCCAATGCCCTGAAAAAATATGTTAAACTATTTTACTAGCCTAGAAGTAGTAACAAAAATATCCCTTAACTAGATTCTAACAAGTTAGGCCTAAACTTTGAAGGGTCCGTGTTTTCAAAATTTAGAAAAATGGGCTTTTAGTACTAGATCTAGTTTTAGTTTTAGTAGAGACTCTACGTCTAGTACTTACCACAATCGTAGAAAGCATCCATAGGCATATAATTAGCGGTACAGAAAAGCTGCCGGATGACATGGTGAGAATTGCGGCACTAATTAACTATTTGAATTGAAAAGTTTAAAAGCGGAACGATCTATATTAGCAAGCTAGATATAGAAAGGTCGAGATGCACGTGGTAATAAAGATGTACGCTTTTGTTTAATCTGATTGGTTAAAACTATACAGACATTTCCGCCGCCATGGCTGTATAGTTTCCTGCATTGTGATTGGTTAAAACCGTACAAGCAAAAAACTTTACAGACATTCTCGCCGCGCCGCCATGGCTGTATAGTTTCCTGCATTGTGATTGGATAAAACCGTACAGCCATAAAACTATACAGACATTCTCGCCGCCATGGCTGTATAGTTTTCTGCATTATGATTGGTTAAAACCGTACAGGCATAAAACTATACAGACATTTCCGCCGCCATGGCTGTATAGTTTCCTGCATTGTGATTGGATAAAACCGTACAGCCATAAAACTATACAGACATTCTCGCCGCCATGGCTGTATAGTTTCCTGCATTGTGATTGGTTAAAACCGTACAGCCATAAAACTATACAGACATTCTCGCCGCCATGGCTGTATAGTTTCCTGCATTATGATTGGTTAAAACCATACAGGCATAAAACTATACAGACATTCCCGCCGTCATAGCTGTATAGTTTCCTGCATTGTGATTGGTTAAAACCGTACAACCATAAAGCTGAATGGATGTATGGTTGTTTGCAATTATGGCACTTCGGCCCGCAAACGTAACAACCTTACATACGTTCTATAGCTGTATGGTTGCATAGTCGTATAGTTGTATAGTTGTATAGTTGTACAGTTTCCTGCGTTCTGATTGGTTAAAACCCTACATCCATTCGATGGATGTATAGTTGTATAGTAGTCATCTTTATGGCGCGATCCGCCCGTCATACGCGTCGTTGAGTCGATCGAATCAGCTTTATTGGCCCACACCTGGCCTATCTCGAGGGTACGGCCAGGCACCACGTACCCGGTGTTTTGCTCTGGAATCGCGAGCCGAAGCTGATGAGGATCTGTCATAGAGATATATACTTAATATCTCTATGGGATCTGTATACTGTAGTAAGGATGCATGAACGAGCTGACAATGCACATCTAATTTGCGAGGCGGAAATGGATATTGGATCTCGGAGTCGGAGGGCTGGGTGTGGTCGGGGTGTGATCGGGGTGTGGCTTGCATGTGGGGGGCTGGGGGCATTATTCCATTTGAAAGCATATTAGAAGCTCTTGGATTATACATAGATGAAATCACAAAGCCTATACACAGTACATTAGCAATGACCCTGGAGAAATACCAAATGACATGGGCAAATCAAGTTTCATTATGTTGCCCTATACCTCGCCCTCGATCGCGATCCGGGCACAAAAAAAAATACCATTGAATGTCAGCTCCAGAGAACAATAGCAATTATTAGCCTTATGAGCCACGTGACAAAGCTGCTATTTAGAGTTATCATGGCAAGAATCAAACACAAAATAAAGCAAGAGATCTCTGACACACAGTTTGGATTTATTACTGACAAAGATACACGAAATTAAAATGTTAGTCTATTAATGATGGCTGAACGAAGCATTGGAATACAACAAGATCTGCATTTTGTGATTTCAAATCAATCCTATATTGGACAAGTTTTTCAAGACATAGAGACGGTGGCGAATTTTATCTCTAGTGATTTTGCCTTTATTTGTATCTTTATTTACCTGACTTGGATACCAGCAAAAGAAACACTTTGTTGGCAACTAGAGCATCAGATCCTATATCCACACTAAAATTTGTTTTATAAATTTGTATAATGAATCTTTTTATATAGATTAGGGTAAAATGCAGAGATGGATAAGCATTTGAATCAATGTTTTGAGATGTTTTTACATGAGGTATACGGTATACCTGCATATCCGACTTCTTTTCACATACATTATAACCAACTGTATTGTGAGAGAGTTAATACTGGAGAGTTTTAATAGATCATCAAACAGTAATGTGAAAGTTAGACAGCGATAGAGGTATATTGGCATGTGACGAGAAGAATAGCTTGGCACATACGATATTGTCAGAACGACTGGCTGGCTATTAATATTATTGGCAGTGGAAGGGGTTGTCAGTGACTGGGTAACTGACAGTGGGTAGGGTTGTTTTATGGCATAGTAGCTATTAATCTAGAACAACTGTGTATGTAGCAGGATGCATCATATATAATGTCGCCAATACCTCCAATATATGGGACATAGATACATAATTATAGATAGACAAAGAAAAATACGTGCACTCAATTATTATAATAATAAAAGGCTCATCCCTGCTAGCTCGTTAACACCAATGGGAAATTATCTTTCAAAATTTCTCCTCAACTTTTGAAATTTCCATTTTTTTTGCATGAAGTGCCGAAATACTGCCACCCAGTGAAAGGGGGACATCAAAATGGGCCACTCAAAAATAAGGAACGCCTGGCTTGAGAGAAGAAAAAAAAATACAGACAATGTCATGAGACACATACACACTGATCAGATCATGGATCTTATTTTAGACCTGATCAAATGAATGAAGTGCAAAGTCCGTATCTCATAAAACACAATCAATTATTTATTTGTCTCGGCGAACGTGTAAATGGACACGCCACTTGAAAAGCAACCATACAGCCGGGCCACGCAGACGACATGTCAGGCTATATTGATAGCAATGTAGCTAATTTCTAGTTATTGAGCCTATATTGTTTACTCGGCAGCACTGTACGTATTGCTTTAACGTGCACGTGATGTTAAATAAACACTATTTTATTTGCGATCCGTATGTTATTAGGTTCAGGAGTGTTAGTACATGTCATGTATATAATTATAGGCTTCTATCAATGTGGGCACAGACGTAAAACCACGGTCACCGGAGAAATTCTGCTTGTCTGGTCCTGCATCGACTTATATTATCATGATAAGTGATACCTTACTTCAACGTGGCAGACTGGTTCTTAAAAGGACTTGGAGGGCACCGAATTAACAGAAATATATAATGCATATAGTATTATGTCTTCGAATCATAGTGCACGCAACTCACTGACAACTACAATGTATAATATTTCGCTGCCACATGATGCGTGAAATGCATTGTGTACTTACTTAAATATTTACCTCCACGTAAAAGGACATATATCAGATTCTATTGAACATTTTCGACTCTCAATCTGACGAAGCCACACCTCCTATTCACAGCACCAACGATTCATGACTATTTTGTGATGATATTTCTATATTTAGAGCAATAGTATACGACCGGTGGTGGACTATTCCCCAGTAACGTGCATGTGTTATATCAGTTGAATGGCATGACAAGCCGGTGGTATATTATATTATCGGAATATACTATTTGTGATCATCATACTGTAAGGTATGCTCATGGGACCATCCGTAAAAACAGTGGATAGCAAAGTGTTATGCTGACGTGCCGGTGCATATATATTGTTCAAATATTGATCAGGATATATCTGTGTTATTCTGTTATACTGCTCATCGGTTAAACCAATGTAATACCATAATATGCTACTGACAAGCCCGTGATATTGTTCACGTTCACCATTCACATTATGACATATTTTATGATCGCCGAATTTGTATAGCAGTAGAGAGGATAAAGGTTCTTGATATACCCTCGTACATTGATTGATCGTGTACATTGGATAAGTGCTTTAAAGCAGGACTCTTTACTAAGGACCATGGATCCAGTATCTATCAGAGGGAGGGACGGACGGAGCGTGACAGACGGCAGAAGACCCAATGAATGGAACGGCTACCAGTGGAATATATCTCTAGACGAGGTAGGAGGAGCGCCATATTGGGTACCTGGGGGGGGGGGGGGGGGGGGGGGGGTGCGTTATCAAGAGGTGGTATGGGTTAGGCATTTTGCTTTGAAGCATAGGCCTACACTAGATAAGATGTAGGGCCTACACTGTTATGTCCATATTATTGGGAATATAATGAAGGCAACTACTTTTGAAAAATCAACCTCAGGCAGTTTCAAAAGCTTTGTGCTTCATCTATCGAAATGAGCGAACATAACAATAACGTATTACGTAATCCGAACGTGATTTCTAAAAGATAGGTATTGGAATCGGCCCTGATTTGACTTTTTTTCGAAAGTAGTTGAGATCGTGTTTGGGGAGGGTGATACCTCCTTCCTTAGGAAATTACACCACGGGGGGGGGGGGGTGCCATACTGTAAGTGGCTGCTGTTTGTTTGTTTTATTCCCCTCCCCGAAAAAAATAATCAAGAAAATTTTGTACCGAAAGATTGCTCTACGATTTTATTTGTGCAAAATAAGTACATGTAGTTTAGTACATCTGACCAACAATTTCCTCAAAAATTCAAATTGCATCGACCAAAAGACTGGGTGAAATTTGTCTATAATCACAACATATCAGGGTCCCTTTTGGTAGCCGGTTTCGCGGGTTAGTATTGAAAACTGATGTGTATACGAGACATTATGGAATAGGCCTGATAAATATAAAAACCAGAAGTTTTTCCATTTTCATGGGCCTCATTTCTTATAAATAAAACACACGATGGGGGAGGGGGTAGAAGACATACACACAAAAATAACCCTTGAACAATGACAAGCGATCAAACAAATTTCTTCACCTTTACTCTTAAACGAAATGATTGTCAAGCAGATAATACAAATAAATGGTATTGTAATTGGTAAATATTATTATAATCGAGTGTAGGATGAGAAGTTGTTCTATCTTATTATGTTTACTCAATATTTTACACCTAAGATTTCTAATAATCATAATAATCGTTGCTATTTTAATTCTAGATATTCGACTGTGACGCTGCGCCAGAATGCTGTCAGACCTGCTACTACAAAAACAAACGAATGAGTAAAAAGAAAAAGTCTCTCATCGTCTTCCTCCTCTTCGCCATCTCCATCCTCCTCACAGCCCTGGTCGTCAGATACTCCCTCGGAACCATCGACATCATCGTCGGAATCGGCGACCAGCGGCCGATCATCAGTCAGGATACGAACTTCTCACCGCTACTGTGTTCCAGATTCAGTATGATCAACATTCCCATGCAGCAGAATCCAGTAACGCTGTCATCGTCGTCATCCTCATCGTTGTCGTCATCAAATACACAGCAAATTGGCACAGCGACGTCAAACTCTGATGAACCAAACAATAATCATCTGTTTGATGCATATATGCTTTTAGATACACCCTATCGCAGCTATCAAACAAGTTCTTATACTGTCCATGAAACGATGATGTTTCCCACCGATGATTATTTCAATTACTGGGCTGCACATTTTGACTCGGGGTCTGAAGTAACGATAAGTCTTTGCCCCGACTCAGACGTCGAACTACACGTAATGCAAGGGAAGAGCGCCTTGGATAAAGTCCTTAAAAGTCATGAAGTCCATGGCTCCCTAATTCATGTCTTTGTGCCTTGTTCTTCATTCTCTACTAAGTCCAGTTATCATTTTTCTGTCAGCTCGCTTTCTGACGACTACGCCTTCATTTTTACTCTTGCTGACCCATGGACATCAACCCCGACATCAACTAGGTCGAATAATTCTACCCTTGTTACGTTTTCCTTTAGACGTAAAGAGCTTATCTTCGATGAGGCTGCCTTATACACGAGCTGTGAAGATGTAGACCATTGCTCGCTCCCCGTCCCGAATAAAGCCAGGTCGGTCATGATCGAGATGAAACAAAACGCGACAGCGTGGCCGATGACGATTCGAACCGAGTGCGTCCCGTCGATCGGAATGTACTTTGCCTTTTTCCTTGGTATTCCCGCCGGTATCATCGTCGTCCTCGGTGCTTGCGGAGGAGTTCTCTACCTGTGCCAGAAATCTGTCATGGACGATATCGAAAGGGCTGAATGCCCACGACGACCACAAACATCGGTCAATCGTTCGTCATCCTCATCGTCACCGAATACCGTTTCGACCAATGGTGCTTCCTCGGGATCGATGGCGAGAATTACAGCGACTCGACGAGCGTTCAGGACGACGATGTCGGCGAGGGCGCCTTTGGTCGATCACGATGTGTTGTCGGCAATGGCCGAGGTTAATAGACAGTATGATCTCCCTCCGACTTACAACGAAGTCGAACACGTATCGTCACCAGTCGATGAACGACCTCCTCCTTCTTTTGAGGCATCGCAGAACCTACAAGACGTCGATCCTCCTTCTTTTGAGGCAACGCAGAACCTACAAGACGACGATCCTCCGTCGTATGAAAGCATTATGACATGATCACCAACATAATGTACTCTCTCTTCCTGTCTTTTTGTTGTATCCCACTCTCTTTTCTTGTAGCTCCCTCTCTCTCTGTGTCTCTTCCTATCCTCTCTCTTTCTCTCACCCCCTCTCTCTCTCTATGTTTTACTCCCTCTCCGTTTCTCTAAATAGTCTGTATTTCTCTTCTCATGCTCTTATATCTTGAAATCTCTCTCAACATCAATCATTTCACTCTTTCCCTTTTCCTTCCATCTTTCCCAAATCTCCCGGACCTTCTCTCCACATCCTTCCCCTCCTCTCTCATCTCTCAATCGTCCCCCTGTCCAGTTACAGTGTAATTTGCAATCGTTTGGAAGTGAATTAGCAATAACTGAATTCGCAACTGATTTGACTGTCTTAATAACAATGTGTTTGTTGAAGTATGAAATTAATATTATCATTTTCTGTATATGAAGGTACTTAACGGAAAATTGCAGGTATCTACCCATAATGAAATGTATTTAAAAAAACTTACCTTGTAATTTATTATGTGACTAACTCTTTAACAATTTTTGATGTCGAGCCGAATTCGTGGTGGTTACACCTTTGGTTCCATAATCATATTCTCATATCAGTACTGAAATAATAGGTATATAGAGAAGAACTACGGGACTTTGCTTAATGAAATTCCAAAGACATTAAATTCTACATTTGACCTCCATCAATATCCCTGCTTAACTTCATAATTATGTAAATTCTTGTCATAGACCAGTATAACATGCAAACATTAACAGGATATACTACAAACGCTCTGAATATGCAGATTATTAAATAATCATAAACTAATTCATTGATTTGTATTCAGTACAGTGAGTACCGATTATTTTTGCAAAACATGGTCATTATTTATCAAAATTCACGATTGATCATATTACGATCAGCAACAGTTTCATTTGTAGTTTAGCTCATATGACTGTATCAACGCCTTTATTTTAAATAAATGTACATTACCAATTCATAAGGACCATTATGTGAAACTCTTTGGTATTTGAAGTTAATTCTGAATAGTCACTGGATTATAATCTGCAGTATATTGGATTAGTCAATTGTTCAACCAATACTAGATCAAAAACAGTCAAGTAGGGTCCAGAGTTTCTCAACTGTTGACTAAAGGTCAAGAACGACAAACACAGGGTCGCCTGATATCACGTGATGTTACATCACGTGACAACAGTTGTCTTATCCATGGGGTTAATTGCGAAATAGAAAACCCAGACTTTGTCCAAAGAAGACATTGTATACATCTTTTCACTCCCTTCAAAGATAGTTACTAAAGCGTATACTCTTCAAAAGTTGAAAGGAATTAAATATAAATCGTATTCACACCAAAAATGATTGATTTGAATGATGATTGAATGATAACTCGATTTATAATAAATTGGTGGATGGCGCAATATTCGAATTAATATCTCGTTGTTTAGTGTATGAATTCCAGTCCAGAATATTTTGTTTGGAGCTAATAAGACAATGTTCTCACGAATATAACGTGTCTCATATCATCATCATCATCATCATTTTTTAAAGTAATCGTTTTCCCTTTAACGAGGGATTACTGACTTTCGTTGGCCTCAATCAAATGGCGAAGAAAGAAATAGAAGAGAGAGAGAGGGAGAGAGAGAGAGAGAGAGAGAGAGAGAGAGAGAGCGAGAGAGAGAGAGAGGGGGAGAGAGAGTGAGGGCGTAGGGAACAGCAGAGTTGTAATACCCCAATACCTCCTTGTACTTGATAGTTGGCCTCATTATCAGTTATTTCCTTCCATTTATATAGTAAGACACATAACCATGGGCTCGCCACAAAGGTCGGTCTTGTAGTTGGTTGTTGGTGAAGAGAATGGTGATTTAAAGAATATATCGTCCGTTTTTCCTCCTTTTTTTAAAGGACTAGGGTCGGTTCATCCAAAATTTATAATCATATATCTCTACCGGTACAAGATGCAAAATCAGTGTCTAAGCCCGCTGGTGTTTGTGTTACAATGTAATAAATCAAAATGTCATGCATGAAATTACCCTCAAAAACATAATATCGTTTCCAGTTGGTGAACACAGCTTCATAAAACTATGATAATGAGCATACCTTGGGTGTGAATGGCATATTAAACACATTGTCTCACCATAATCATAACGCACAAAGATCAAGGAACTTATCGAGTCGTCAAAAGTAAACCAAAAGTGACAAGTGACATGTCAGTATTCTCTGATAGAACTAAATTGGCCCGAATATCATGATATGAAATGTATTTCAAAATATTAAGCATTTCCATCTGTTCGATTTGTTTAAAAGACACAAAGAAAAAGAAGTGACAACTGAATCTTGTCTCGGTACCAGAAAATGATCTTGACAAGGTTGTCGAACTTGTCTTCTCGTCTAACCGTAATAGACTTGACGAAATAAAATCCCTTTGTTTGATATCTTCCAACTGTTTTTCAAAAATACACGAGTCTGTATCTTCTCATCATGCTTTTTTTGGTGACACATTGCACTTTCGTTTGTTTTAACAAATTGTCCTGACATGATATTTTCATGATTTTTTGGGTTGTTGTATGGTGAAGCGGGGGGGGGGGGGAGGCAGAGGCGTCGCTAGAACAAAGTTACGGGAAGAGGTTAGAAGCAAATTTGTAGCAGGATTACTGGAATATCTATTTAATAACAATTATGAGTAAATCAAGAAAACAAACATACAAACAAATACACACAAACAAACAAAACAGACAAACAAAAATACACAAGAAATTTCGAAATGCCAGCAAGGGTAAAATCGGGTTATCAGGATTATGATAAACTTTGACGACACTTTAACGGAGAATTTGCAAAATTTACAGTCACTCGAAGTGAAATAACATTGCACGTAAAGGTTTATCAAATGTTGCCTTAAATAGTTTTTTATTCGTCAGAGCGACATCTGTCGGCCTTATTTCGTTAGTTTTCGTTTTAGTGTGATGTGTAGCAGACCGTTCACATAACCTCGATACACTAGCACAACACAAAGAAAGAGACAAGGGGAGAGGTGGAGGGGGGGGGGGGGGGGGGGGGGTAAACAAATACGTGTAAATAATGAATAGGGGTAGATCGAAGAGACCAACAAAAGAATGGGGAGAGAAGGAAGAATGAGATAAAGATAGAAGCAGATACAAAGAGAGGCGGGGAGATAGTAAGTGTCATGCATAACCGAGATACTTGATTAGGAATCGAGGAAGACTTCTTGTTGGAGCGTGTATTTGAATATTAGAGATAATTATAAGAGAATTAGAAAGAAATAGATGCATATTTTAACATTAAAATTCATAAAGAATATACAATTTCCACAAGCCTTTAGGAAAGTTTGCTTGTTGGGCATTGAAGCGGAGGGGACAAAATGAGGAAGAGTGAGAGAAGGAGAATGAATGTGATAAGAGTGAGCGAGATAAAGAGAGAGAGAGAGAGAGAGAGAGAGAGAGAGAGAGAGAGAGAGAGAGAGAGGAGAGATGAGATGAGAGAGAGAGGAGAGATGGGAGAGAAGGAGAATGAGTGAGAAAAAAAGGGAGAGGAAGAGAGAGAGAGAGAGAGAGAGAGAGAAGGACAGTGGGACAGAGGCAGAGACAGAGGCAGAGACAGACATACAGACAAACAGATAATTAGATAAGCCGACACAGGAATACATCATTGTAATTTTTTCACACAAATCATAAAGTTCAATTCATAATTCAACAACCATAGTAATATAAACAGAAAGCGAAATATAACAAACGAGTAATGAGTAACGTAACGACGTGATGGGTTGGCAGGCTATAGAGGTACTTAAAAGGAGCATCTAATTTGCATAATTGATTGATCTTTTACGAGACGACACAGGTATACATCCAGTCAAGTGAAATGGTACATGGTCCATACTCATGCACAGTACAATCGGGGTTGAGACATGGTTTGAGATCTTTTCCGCTCTACTAAGAATGCAAGACGAATACAGTCATGAAAGACAGTTTTAATCATGTCGAAAATAAACACACCACAGTAAATCTTTGTTAGGACGTCCGTATTGGTAAACCAGTCTACGCTTGCTGCTTGTTTTACAGAATGACAGTTGATCATTAAACAGAAATTCCATTCATATTGAAATTAAACTCGCAATAATATTCTTTTTAATGATGTCTCTTTCCAGAGATGTTTTCGAAAAATGTCAACAAGAAAGGGCAGGTTTTTATCTTGTTCTCGATTTTGATGTAGTATATTGCAAATGAGTAATTTTTGAACCCATATACGTAGAAAAGGATGCAGGGGGAGGGGGTATGCAAAGTAAATGTACAACAAGTGTAAACAGTGTTAAATGTTTATTCAAATTCGTGTCCTAAACAGTTACAATTTATTATGATGATGATGATGATGATGATGATGATGATGGCAATGAACATGATGATGATAGCGATGATGCTGTTGCCTTTTCTTTCTATTACAATTCCAAAGGGAATTTATACAAGTAATTGAATACGTTTCTTCTTTCATTTTGCTTAATCTGAACAGAATAATGGATTGCGATTAAAAATTACATCGTTGCAACAACCACCCATTGTTTTCGAGTGCTATCATGGCTAAGTTTTAGGCCAAAGAAAAAGAAAACAGGAAGACAAAAAAAAAAGACCATTACAGTAACGATTACAACATCAAAACAATCACATCATAACGATTAAAGATTTTGGAGCTGGTTACCATTTTCATTATTTTGATGATGGTGAAAGGGATTGTGATGATGATGACGACAACGAGGATGATTTGATGATGATGACGATGATGATGATGGGAAAGGAAGATGAAATTACTGATAAAGATGAAAATAATAATGGTTATAATGATGATGACGAAGATGACGACGATTAGGATGATGATGATGATGATGATGATTAAGACAATTGTGTTAAAGATGAAAAGATGGAACATTATAACGATTAATGATTTTGGAGCAGATGATGATTACCATTTTCATTATTTTGATGATGGTAAAAGGGATTGTGATAATGATGATGATTATGATGCTGATGACGACACCGAGGATGATTTCATGATGATGATTATAAAAAAATATGATGAATTTAATGATA